GAATGTTCAAGATTACAAATAACTGTCATGTGCCAAACAATTTTTGAAAAAAATGTATACTGGCTGAGTAATGAGCATAGAAGGATAAGGAAATCAGGGTAGTACTGGCCCCGACACTGTGTGTGTTGTCCCATATACATCTTTCTGTGTAAGTGATTGTTACTTTACCAAGACTCTGCCAAATTTATGATGATATTGAAGACTCCAGAACCTTGCATTTACACTTCATTACTTACATGCTATATGATCAACTTTTCTGTTCCATTCCACACCTTTTCTTTCACAATTACCAGAACTCAAGTTTATCTTTAATCCTTTTGCGACAAACATTTCTCATTTCGTGGTTTGGCTCGATACCTTTGAATTCAGAGTCCTCGACCTGAATGATAAAATATGCCAGATGCATGAGTAGAAAGCAAAGGGCAGAAATTTCTGCACACATTGCATCCATTCCATTTTTGTTTCATGACTACATTTATATTGCATTTGCAGAGCTGCCAACCATTCCGTTTTTGCCGGAATTACTCCGTTTTTCCCTCCAAATTACGGCATTACGTTTTTTCTTCATAAAATATGTTTTTTAATTTTTTTAAATTTTGTTTATTTTTGTTTATTTTTTTATTTTTTTATTTTTTTAAAATTTTTTTTATTTTTTTTTTTTTTTTTTACATACCGCACGTCAAACAACTGCCCTAAAATGGTGATTTGATCACAAATTCAATAGAAAACTAAATTTATAACATACTTGAAAAGAAAAATATTCTCAAGAAGAATGAAATGCCGATAATACCAAAATAACCACACAAAAAATTCCTCCTTGTATGGAAAAAAACAGCATGATGAATGAACATTTCTGCATTGGAAGTGTGTCGCGCGTGGTTGTAACTTTCGTTTTTATGAATTCCTTTTTTTGGCTTGAAATTCCTTTTCTTTTGCCATCATGATTCCTTTTTTTGATCGCACAAGGTTGGCAGCTCTGCATTTGATGCTAGGATTTAAAAAAATGAAATTACTTTAAAATCCTTAAACTGGCAATGGCAACATGTTGATACATGTAGATTCAAAATCAATGCTTTTTTTTGGTCAACTTGGCAATGTTATCAAATTTTTGACATTCTTACCCAAGTTTGTTTTCATAGACATTAATTTACAGTGTATTTGAACAATATGGCAATTATTGTTGCCTATTAAAAATAACAATGTATGGGATCAATTTAGCCATATAAATGAATTCATCCTGCCCTGAGAGGGTTAAGTTGGGCTTCAGTTGTGGTAGAGTATTAGTAAATTGACAATCTTGATTTCCACTATCCACCTACATCCATTGTCAGAATTGTAGTAAAATTTGCAAAGAAGTACATTTTATGTCAGTGTTGACTGTGCCGTAACTAAATGTTAGTAGTGAAAACAGTACTTTACAAAGAATAAATATTATAATCACTTGATATCCTTTTATTATAGCGTAAAAATACATTTGAACTCAATTTTGTCTGATTTTGTAATGGCTAATAACAGGAAGTTAATTTTTGCAGTATCAAACAGAACTTGTAAACGTGTACATGAACATTTGCATTACAATTACACGGGTATGTATTTAATAGGGAACCAATCACCATCCATTGTTCAAGGTTTATAGCTTCTCCCTCCGTCTTTAAAGATAAAGACCAGTTATGGTCATGCGATCGCATTGTGAAAGAAACGTTGTGGAATCGATCAGAAAAGGTTGATCATCTACATGTAGCATATAATGTAGGTATTGGTGTGTACTGCAAGGTTCTGGAATCATCAAAATGATAAGAAATTTGGCCCAGTCTTGGTATAGTTACAAGCACTGTACACAGAAAGATGTGTATAGGACTATGCACATGTGTGTGACACGTGCATTATATCTATCAGGTCTAAATAGATATAATAATTTACCAAATATATCAATTAGTAGGCGGTTTCTTGGCAAAATTTGTATGATCACGTATTAGTCAAAACATATTCTTTCACATGATTGGTAATAAGAGCTTCCATTTCATTTTTTGAGAGGGGGGAGGGGCGTTTCCAAAACTGGTCTTTACCTTTAAAGAAAAAATGTGCGCTGCATTCGAGCTCCTGCGCTTAGATTGGCGCGGAGAAAATTGGACCGCTGCGGACCATTAGGTGGAAAGGACGAGGAGAGTGATGAAGGCTCGGCAGACAGCCCGCTTCTAATTGCCTACCGACCCTGCATTGGTGGCTTGATCAAACGGATTAATATTTCAGGCATCAATTTATGCTCTCTTGACACGATCACCACGGCGATGAAGGAGACAGAGGAGGGAGGAGACGTCGCATCCATGCATTGGTGATGTAGTACTGGACGATATCGTTTGGATACTTCATGGAACATGGTTGATCGGGTGAACGTGCTAATGTTATGCAGACTCTACTACATGTTTGGTATTGAGAGTAACCTGGATAGGATGACCTTGCTTAACTGAATTTATTTTTGAAAAATAATGTAAGTCCTCATTTTAAATGCTTTTCATGGCATTGATACCTACCACTTTTCCTGTTTGTGAATTTTCTGTTTTGTCTCTTGTGATAATTTACAAAATACCAACTGCTAATTTGATGCAGAATTTGTTTTGCATTGAGGTTACCTTACAATTACATTTAAAAGTCTTTACCCAAATATACAGTACTCATTGTTTTGTATTCAATGATTTTCTTTGCTTTTGCAGAATAAATGATAATAATAATAAATGTCCTCATATACATGTATTAATGACAGCCTATATACATGTATTAATAACAGCCTATAGATGTGGAAAATACGTGTAGGAACCAGGAGGACACGAATATAACAGCTGAATGTTAGAAATTGATATATACTGATATAATTATATAGTTTGAAGTCTATGACTGAATTGAAATTGGAAAGTATATTTTGTGTCAATTTTTATCAAATCAATTACTAAATAATGAAATTCGATGCTACAATTGTATTTGTCAATTACCAAAATATATACTTGGACATTAATTTTTTTAACAAAAACAAACAAATCAGTGATTTTAAATTCAATCGAGTTTATCATCAATTGTAAACTATGAATAAACTATAAATGTAAACTATGCAATGTACCTTTTATAGCAACTCAAATGTGTGATTATTTAGAAGTAAATGACCAAAATTTTACTACAAAATTCATGAGAACTCTTTAAATAATGATAAGTCAACTTTTATAACAAATGTGTGTATAATACGATACAGCTTATTCTCCGTGAGATGCAATCAAGAAATCTGTTGTAAATTCATTCTCTCCGTCTCTCTCCTTTGCTACATTGTATGTCTTTCTTCCTCCCTTTTCCCACCTCATCCTCCTTCTCCGCTAAACTTTACCATTACGTTCTACATTACATAAATAGTATTATATTTTTAGATTGAACGAACCCCATAATTAATTTTTCATATTATAACTGATACTTCTGACTGCTAATGATCTTAGAACAAGTATATATGTTTGTATGTATATGTTTACATGTTAGGCCCTGCCTGAGTAATATCAACGTCCTGGGCCACGATTTTCACGTCTTTATAATATGTCTATTCACTATGTGAAGGAAAGATTCCTTGTTATCTTATTTTGTATTGTTATATTGTTACATTGTATATGCTTTTCTATGGAAATAAATACTACTTTTCATACCATTCTTCCTCATTACTTTTTCTGTATTATTTAGTATCTTTTTAAATATAGAATTTTAAGGTACATCATTGTACAGTCAAACCTGCCTCAGCGACCACCTGTCTATAACAACTTCCTGTCCATAATGACCACTAATAATTCCCCCGCAGAAAATTCATGTAAATGTACTAACTAACCTGCCTAACGCGACAAGCGACTGCCTATTTTGACGCCACATGAAAGACGTAGATGTACACTGTAGTGTTGCCACAACAACGGCCACAGAGGTAGTGCTGTCAGCAGTCGATTGCTGGCTCTCAGCAGCGGTATTGGCTCACTATAATTTAGTACAGGGGATGTCCCCTCTTTGAAATAGACCGAAGCTTCGTCGACAAACAAACAGGAAACAGAATTTTTGTGAAAATGTCTGTACAAATGAGATGGAAAAGTAGCTCAAAAGAGATACATGTACAGTATGTCACAGAGTTGCCAATTTCTGTTTGATCAATTGGAACTTAAATAATTATAAACTTTCTTACTTTTTTAGATTACACTGATCTGTTCCACATATTCTGTTTTTAAAAGCCCCACTGTACTGCTTCTTGCGCCCTCTATATAACAAACAATGCCTAATTGGTGCCTGTTGGTCCCCCATGATCCCCTTTTTCTTATGTTAATTGAGAGCCGAGTTAGTGACCTTGCAGGGAGGTCTAATCCCCTGGCCAAACTAGTGCAGACAGGCTTTAAAACAAAATTATTCCAGGGTGGACTTAGCATTATTCAGATATGACACTGTAAACTGCAAGCAAAAGTAAAGGGTAAACAAATAGTAGAAATAATTTTCGGCATCATTTCATTGAGAAGTGAGAGAATAAAAAAAAAAACCACATCAAGCATTTTCTATTGTATGTACCCTGCATAATTCATTTGTAATAAATCAATTATATTTCTTTTGGCAGTTTTCATTGTTGATATCAGATTATAGCCTGCATCCTTGTGTGATAATTTGATACCAATGTTTTGAACATGGATCAATCAAAATATTCATTTTAGAGGGTTGTATGTATTTTTTGTTGCAGAGAAGCACGCATACATGTATATTTTACAAGATATTGGTGTGTGTTTGATTACGAATAATACATGTAGGAAAGAAATGGAAAATGTAATATTTTTGACTGAAAGTACAATGTAAATTCTTTTCATAACAGTTTTATTCGTGGAATTAAATGTACAATGTCTCTAATAATGATTTTTGTCGATTTGTTAGTAAGCTGTTAGTTGGATGTGATAATATAACTTCAATTTACGATGAATCTGTTTTTTCGTTTTTTTTTTCTTTTCCAGGTGCTGAATGTAGTCAAACCAGGCGACTCAGTGAACCGCTCTCGAGCTGCCAACTCAAGTCAGCCAGCCACGCAGCCGCTACCAAGCGGTGTGACGAGCACAAGACAGAACATGGAATCTCTGACATGTCTTATCAGCGAGTCTGAACTCACCCTCCATGAGAAGCTGGGCAATGGGTCCTTTGGCGTGGTCCGGAGGGGGGACTGGAAAACTCCCAGGGGGAAGAGAGTGAGTACACATATAGAGCACAGAAGCTGTGACATTGTCTGAATAAATCTGAATAACGTTTGTAATGTTATGAACCAGAGCAAATTTCCTATAGGAAATCTATTTATTCAGATGGTCATATCTCAGCCAATACTTAACTTATTCAATTGGTTTTTGACTTTTGGACATTATTTTTGATGCTCTTTTGGAAGATGAAGTTCAAATTGAGAAATTCTAAAGATATTTGTTTGATGACGTCACACTTCACAACTCTATACTGTAGAGTACGAAAGTGTAATGTCGTACGGGCCAAGTCCTCAAGGTTTCGAGTTCCAAACAATTTTGTGCTAAACAACCGTGTGGTGATCACACCAGCCCCAAACATTGAATTCGCCCTGCTCCAGCCTGTTGCTTCAATGATTTCACAGTGAACCTCATGTGCAGGCTCAGTTGCTTAGAAACAGTAACCGGGATGACGAGCGAGTATGACGTTAGCACTTCGGTACTCTATGAATTCCACATTGATGAAAGTGGTCACAGTGGTTATTCATTAACAGGTGATGGTGGTGGATCACACACTTTGCAAAACCCTATCTGGCATACATTCAGTACTTACCGGTAATGTGATAGTTAAAAGAATGGCACAAGAGCATCTCGTGTTCTATGACCAATGATTCAACGCACCAAACTACAGTTTACATGTATGCACCTTGTAATAATTTCTGTAAAGAGCTTACAGACGTTAATTCGTGTAAAGCACTATGTAAATCCAGGTTATTATTATCATTTCAAATGATATGCAAAACTACATATCAAGGGTTCAGTGACACAAAGACGTAACTCCATATTTTGCCAAAATGAGTATTTGATATCAAAATGCGGGCTTTCCAGGAAACACAAAGACTTAACTCCACCCAACACCCCATTGAAGTCAATGGCTAGTGAAACATAGACTCAATTCCTCGAGGCCCAAGTGCTCAGTGACACAAAAACCACTGTTTCTCAAATTGGAGTTACGTCTTTGTGTCACTGACCCCTCGATGTATAGTTCATTAATTGCCTACAGCCATATATATATATCTCTTGTTATTCTTTCTTGCATGATTCGTGCACATAATTGTATTCTTGAGTGATCATTTAAAATCAAATCTTCTTCCTTTTTTGTTGATTGTCAGGTGGAGGTAGCAGTGAAATGTTTGAGGAGTGAGATGGTCAATCAGCCCGGATTCTTTGAAGACTTTGTCAAGGAAGTCAACACCATGCATCTGTTAGATCATCCCCATCTCGTCCGACTCTATGGCGTGGTGCTCTCCTCCCCTCTCAAAATGGTCAGTCCTTCTTCTCTTTTTTAAAATATTTCCCCTTTCACAGACCCAGGCTCCTATCATAATAAAAATGATACAATACTTCACATTAGAGCCTATCTGCACTAGTTTGGCCAGGAGGGATTAGACCTCCCTGCATTGTCACTGGCAGGTGGTTATCACATCAAATCAGCTCTCAATTACCATAAGAAAAAGGGGACCACAGTTGACCAATGGTCACCGCTTAGGCATTATTTGCTATATAGAGGGTGCAAGTAGCTATAAGTAGTGCAGTGGGGCTTTGAGCAGTAAATATTGTGCTTGCAAACTCTGATATAGGTTCTTGAGAAAAGCATTGTTTTTAATGCAAGACCCACATTATCGCGTTCAGAAACCAAGGACTTGTGGAGAATATTACATATATGGATAATGATATGTATCATTTTAATGCAGATATATCATGAACTGCTATAGCGCTGCTATTATACTGGTACATACAGTATATTAAAGTGCAATTGGGGTTCTTGAAAGGAGTCTTAAAGTGACTCTTGAGAAGTAATATTTGAAGCTCATACTTTAAATATAGTATTACGACGTGAAACTACTGACTTAAGTGAAAAGAACAAAATATGTTGCTTGGTACACTTTAATGTAGGGTTGAGCCTACTTTTCCCTTACACCTTTGTGATCCCCATTAAACAGGATATCCTGACATTGTCTGAGCATTAAACATCATCTTACCTTGTATTGACCTCGAGACATGAAATGTCGGAAGATTATTCATCTTTCAACTCAAAGCAGTTCAGAGTTTTCTTAAAGGTATAGACCAGTTTTAGAAACACCCCCTTCTCAAAAAATGAAATGGAAGCTCTTATTACCAATCATGTGCAAGAATATGTTTTGACTAACACATGTACGTGAAGATACAAATTTTGCTGGGAAACCGCCTACTAATTGATATATTTGGTAAATTATCATATCGATCCGGCCTGGATAGATATCGCGAATGCACTTCAACATTGAACATTTGGGCATATATTTCTGTTTTTTGCAAATTTAGGTTGTTTATTGCCATCTAAACCTCTGAAGGCAATATTTAAACAATATTGAATGGATATATTGCACCCAAAACCCTTGAACCGCAATTTTATAACTACCGGGCTATATCTTTAATAGTTTCAAGTAGTTTCAATTTGATATCATCTCTTTTTCATACTTTGAAAAGTTTTTAGGGCAGAAGGAAAAACTTGCGAATCAAGTCTATGCTCTTTACAGACACTATACCCATGGAAATCTTTCCTGTTGTCAAATATTGACAAAGTCTACATTGCCTGCCAAAATAGTTGAACAAACCAACCAGTAAGCTGGAAGTGATCTGAAAAGGGAAATTAGGGCAGGGTGAAATGTTTAATAGCTTCCGTTTTGAAAGGAAAGATGGCAGGTCTGCGGTTAAAAGATAATTGGGCAATCGATTTGCTTTGTACACTTTTATGTTGGTAGATGAAAAATATGTACATTAATACTTATTTCCAAGGTACACTTCAACATTTGAAAATAATAATCAATCTTGTATCAATTTGTTTTGTATTGGTTTCTGTTGATTGGAAAAAAAAAAAGTGTTGTGCTCTTGCACATTGGGTACCCGCTAAACCCGGGTAGAGAGTGTCAAAAGTGGGAAAATGTGAATCAGTGTATTAAAATTACCATTACAAAGGATAGACTAAATAATCCAAAATATGACATAATAACAGGAATTTCATATTGATGATATTGAAACACAACACAAATATGTGAGAATTTATTTTTTAATCGAAGCTTTTCAAAGTAATGCGTACAATTTTTGGAAATATTACTATTTTGTTCTTTCGTTTGCTTTGTGTTTAATAGGTGACGGAATTGGCCCCGCTTGGTGCTTTGGTGGACAGGTTACGAGAGGACCCTTCTAAATTCCTCATCTCGACCCTGAGCGCCTTTGCATTACAGATCGCTTCAGGCATGAGCTTCCTAGAGTACAAACGATTCATACACAGAGATCTAGCGGCAAGGAATATACTGCTAGCTTCGATGCAAAAGGTAAGATCAAATTCTTTTTATTTCCTTTTTTTAATATATTTTTTATTAAAAAAAATATATATATTTAAAAATATTTATTTGTTTATTTATTTTGTATTAATTAATTAATTAATTTATTATTATTTTATTTTTTGGCTCGGCAGCAAAAATTAGACTGCTAGCTTCAACGTAAATGATATATGAAAGATTAAAATACTAAAAAAAATATGAGGGCCAAATGGTTTTTAGAATACAAGAGATACTGTACATACAGAGACTTTGCAGCAGTGCAAAAAGTAAGATCGAATTGATACAAAAATTGAGAGGCTTGAGCTTTTTAGACTTTTAAGTTTAAGAAATTCAAACATGGAGACTTTGCTGCTAGTAGGCTACTATAAGTGCTTCAATGCAAAAGGGTAAAGTCAAATTATGACAAACTATGATTGTATTATTGTAGAATTTAAGAGCTTGGAACCTACATGTATAGAAACTATCTTGCTAGGAATATACTGTTAGCTTCAATCTTAAGATCATAATGATAAAATTATGAATTCATGAGCTTTTTTCGGATTTAAGAGATTAGAACCTTTATAGACCTGATTGCTAGGAATATACTACTAGCTTCAGTGTAAAAGGTAATACCAAAATGATTATGGTAAAACATACATGTATGAAGGCACAAAATAATTCTGTTACAATGCAAGAGATTGTGCAGTAATGCAAAAAGTAAGATCAAAATGAATGAGAGAGATACTGCTATCTTCAATTAAAAATGATAACAAATATATAAGGCTTTTAGAATATGAAATATTCGTACACAGAGACCTGTCAGCAAGGAGCCAATATAGTCGCACCGTACAACTTTTATGGCATGAAGCTTTCAAGAATTGATTGCAGAATTATTCATGCTGTTGTCTGTTCACTTATCCCAAGTTATTGTGTATTTTAATACCAAGTAGTTTATTGCAAAGCGAAAGGGTGTGAAACTAACTATACTAGAAGATTGTGAGTAGTTGTGAAAAGCTATTGTGTATAAAAGATTTATTGTTTTTGCATCAGTCAATAAACGGAAAGCCACAATGTACTTAGTCTTTAATAATTAAAAGCGAACCTTGGAAAACAGTTGCTTGAGTGAAGTCAAGAAAAAGTGGCTTTCAATTCAAACACATTTCATTCAAGAGAAATGAGACATCTACAGATTTAAGCCTTGTGATTGTGATAGTATCTACAGTACATGTAGTACTGTTCTCTAGGTTTTATGCATGAATTATCGTAAATATTTCTTCTAGTATGAAGAGATATCTGCATCTGTGGGAAATTAATGAAGTTCTTCATGTATGTGTGTACTTTTTACACATCCTTATTCCTTACACATTTTAGTAAATGTTGCTTTTTTGTTTGAGAGTTCTGTAAAAAAAAATGGATAATAAGTCCACGTTTAATACTTTGAGTCTGTTTCTACTCTCACTTTAATGTGCGATTTTCTGTCAAGCTGGGTTTTCCCCTCGAATTACTCATCAAACAGCTACATCTACATCTACATGTACATGTACAGTATAATTCAATATTTGACTTGCATTTAAATGCAAAACCTACTGTATATGGCAAGATGCACCAAGACTATTAAGTACTGTACGTGTATTTCTCTGCACTATTTGCTTAAAGGGAAATTAAAGGGAAGTTCATACAGTGGGACTATCACAATGTTGGCTAATATACATGTATCTGTAGTAGTAAAGGACATATATATGATTGGAGTATATCCAATCAGTGTTTGTTAAGTCATTGAAAACACATTGTAGCTTCCCTGTTTATACTTGCATTCCCATGCCAACTTTAAAGGGAAACATCAAGCTTAAGTTCTGATGGCGATTTTTAAATCAGTTTACCAAACTAATGAATTGGTTGTATCAATAATCATACACTTTTTTAACAAATATTTTATCTAAATTGTTATTACAAGTTATGCATTTTATAATGCCCTGAGTACTGCAATGTACATTTGTAGGGTTTAGAGGGCATTAAATGCGCAAGAACAAATTTATTTGATCAACTGTTTAAATACAAAATGTCATGTAAAGGAAATTGGGTAAATATGATGTCATATAAAATACAAGTGTTTACTTGAAGATTTGTTTAACTTGTTTCCTCTAATATCTGAGATACAGGTACATATACCAGTATTTTGATTGTGACATGATATTGGATATTTATCAAAATGTCTATTCTACACTGTACACGTCTAAACAAAAAAGAGGTACAGTTACTCCATTATTACACGTACAATGCAGGAACTAACTTGAAAAACAAACAAACCCACAAACTTTTCTAAAGATGAAGTTCTAATAGATAATGACATCAAAAGTCAAAACTGAAAGTAGACAATTTTTGGTATTTATTTATTGTGATTCATCGACCACAAAGTCACACTGTTAAGAAAAGGATAACGTGTGGGCATCAAATAGAATCTAGTATAAAATCTATTTTGCATGTAGAGTACATATTTACGGTATGTGGCTTTCTTTGTGGTGATTGTTGACACAAATGCTTTTCTAATCCTGTTGAGAATTATAATTCTGGGCCAACATTTGGATATCCATGGATATCCACACAGAGTTCACCATTTTACGCATAGTTTACAAAATATACCTTTGGCATACACTGTACATAGTACACATGTAATACACTACACAATTTTGCTTTGTACTAGTGTAGATTTCAGCAGTATCCAATGCAGTATAATGTTTATGTGGAATTTAGAAAGTATGGGTCATGGAGGGGGGGGGGGTATTATAAAATTGAATAGTAAACAAAGACTTTTGAGTTTTGACCTCATTTATTTGTGAACTTGACAGTTGTTGGCTGTTACATGTACCTGCGTTTATCAAACAAGTTTGATAGTAAGTTTGAAAAGCAGATTTTGGAATAAAGAATACATTCTGTATATACTGTTTATCTACAGCCTGTTAAAGGGCAATTCAACCCTTGTAATAAATTCATCTGTATGAATGCAGAAAAATAAGATATAAACAGAATGGCGAAAGTTTGAATAAAATGCAACAGTAATGTAAAAGAAATTTATGAATGTATTTTGATATGAGATCACTACTGGGAAGTCTATGTGAATCTCATGTTGGTAGTCTGGTCTGTTGATTGTGACGTACCGGTAGTCACAGATAACTCTCCATTTTGTCATGTACAAAATATAATTAATTTCTGTTCTTCCCCAAGTGCCTTTTCCCTTGGGGCACTACTCAAAATATACACTGTACTATGGATAGCATAAAGGTTTTCTGAAACAAAAATTATACTTATGGCAGATTTTCATTAAGTGAAGCACAAATAATACAGAGATCATTTTAAATCTAGAATATAGCAACTTAAGAATAAATGCTTTAGAAATGATAAGAATCACTCGCGAATTAGGTGCTCAAATCAAGAGAGGAAGCATTTCGGTATTGTTCACTCACTACAGTACTTTATTTATCATTTCAACAACTACTCAAGAACTTGTAGAGCTGATAGTGTTTTGCTTCCTTCATTAGGTTACATCAGATCATGCCAGCTGCCAAGTATGAAGTACATACAGACATCCGGTCCATTTCCTTTATCAATTGAAAGTACCATATTTAGAACCCGGAACTACTGTACTAGAACCTAAGTAGAGAGTATTGATCAGTAGGCATGTTTAAAGGTAACAAAGAGATAAGACTAAGAATTGATTTTAGGAAACTGTATTAAAGTTACTAAACACTCTTGAGTTACATCAGATCATACCAAGCACGAAGTACATGCAGACATCCGATTCATTTCCTTTATCAATTTAAGTACCATATTTAGAACCCGGAACTACTAGAACCTAATTAGAAAGTTTCAAGAATAAGGCATGTTTAAAGGTACAATGTATCAAAGAGTTAAGAATAAGAATTGATAAGGAAACTGTATAAAAGTTACTAAACAATCTTGAGTTCTGGTTTTAAGACAAAAAATACTAGCAAAAGATTGCAATAATCTTATCACCAAATATTTATAAATAAATGGTATACATTTATGTTGGCTAAATAATTTTTAAAGAAAACATGTCATTAAATTGATTTTTAAGTGAAAAGACGAGTCATTCCATGAAATGTTAGGATAAAAGTGTAAGTCCATGCCTCGTACATTGTCTACCAACAGCATTGTTCCATGTATACATGTTTGTGTTGGTGATTTTTAGAGGATGCAGTAATTCATCACTTTTTTCTTTATGTTTGGGTAGCATAAACTTTGCTGTAAAATATAATTATCTAATGATAACAATTTACATGTACACTGAGTCTTTAAACAATTTTGTTTTTCTTGAACGAAATTTTACCGCAAGCTATCAAATTATATCTTAAAAAGGTATTAGGTAACTTTGCCTCTGATTCTAAAAAAAAATCCTGGATTTAGCTCATGCTGCAATCATAATTATAAACGTTTAGGTCAGAAATGAATCCCATGACTTTTACAAGCCAATTGCATATTAGATTATCAAGATATTTATGAATGGGATTCGAAATTTCAGAAACCGTTTTTCCCCAACGTTTTTGAACAGCTTTTATAACACTACAGTCTAGTGGGAAAAATGAGTATGGTAAAACCGGTCACTCAAAGATTTTTAATTTTTTTGAAGCACTTCATGATCATTTTAAAGTGCAATTTTTTTAGGGCTTCAATATTACACCATATCACAAACACTGATAGAACGTAGGGCCATGCATCTCATATTTAACATTGTTAAACGATGCCTTTAAATTTGTCCTTGTTATCTTTCAGGTGAAGATAGGTGACTTTGGACTAATGAGGGCTCTCCCATCGGCTACCAACTATTACATCATGACGGAACACAACCAAGTACCTTATGCATGGTAAGAGCATCTGTGAATTGCTGTTTGGTCTACAACCAGTTCGTCTACTACCCAATTGGTCTATTCCCATATGGTCTACACACAGCCTGTTTGCTATCTATATGGTTTAATAATCATGAAATCATAAGTAATGATGATCATCAAATGATTATTACACCTTATAGATATTAGATGAAATGCGCATTAGACGAACTGGGAATTACACCTACTGGAAATTAGACTAAATGAGCAATAGACCAAATGGGTAGTAGACTTATTGGAGATAAGACCAAATCGAAGTTAGACTAAATGACAACTATTTCAAATGGTCATTAGACCAAATGATAAGTAGACAAAATGATTATTAGACCATGTGGAACGAAGACAGGGTGTAGACCATATGGGAATAGACCAATTTGGTAGTAGACGAACCGTTTGTAGACCAATATGCTTATAAACCAGTGTCGTCATCAACCACCGAAAAAAAAGGATGCATTCAAGGTCAACTGTGACAAACCTACTTCCTTGAAGGCTCAATCAACTTTATTAATTCCCAAATCCGACAACAAAGCAAACGGAAGAAAGTTTCATTAGCTTTGTTCACACAAGAACATGGTAGTTTTATAATTCATAGTTTGCAAAAGCTTGAAGTTATAAACATTGTTCCAATAACAATGACAAGGGCAGACCTGCCAACCAGTACGATTTAGTCGTTTTTAGTACGATTTTTAGAAGCAAATACGACAGTACGATTTTCCTCAATAAAATATTATTTTCAAAAACAATTTTTTTTTTTTTTTTTTTCTTTTTTTTTCTTCAATTTTTAAAATATTTTTTTTATATATTTTTTCTCCTTTCTATTTTCTGTGTGTTTGTGTACCATTTTCAATGGCAAAATACCCATTCTATCCTGTAAAATATCCTACATGCATCTCACATCAGCAATTTTGGGATGTTCATTGGTTCATCGAACACAACAGTGGTGACGAAACCATGCATATTCAACCAATGATCCATAAACAAAATTATTCCTGTATGTAGGAACTGTAAGACGCATTGATCCGCGTAACAGTCCATGTTTATTTTTAAGAATACAACTTTTGTCAGTAAAATACAACTTATGGGATTTAAGAATACAGTTTTTGAACTCCAGAGGTTGGCAGGTCTGCAAGGGTACTCATGTGACCAAAATAATGAGTTTCCAAAGGTCTAAACTACAGTACATGTACGAGCTGGTGTAATCTCGAGGCACATTGCATTCGCATGGCCCATAACTTTGAGTGAGGACCTCCGCTGCTAGTAGTTATCACGCATAACGGTACCTTCAGATTGCTTGTGCTTTAAATACAAGTACGGTAACTACAAATGTGTCACTTGACTCACTTCAGAGTTAAAAATCATGACCTTAGGGCAATTCCACGGTAACGGAAGGACACTCAGACAAGATTTTTGAACTTCAGGTTCATACTAAAAGAACTGTTTTATTAGTATAAGATGTGAAACAGTACAGATATAATACCTATATAAGTGCCTTTAATTCTCCCCCAAAAAATTGTCATTATAGTTAAGTAGTTTAAGAATGTGCATATTAATTATCTCGGTAACGGAAGGACATAAAAATGGACATGGTTTTTCCAGTTAATTAGTGTTTATCCAAACTTTGTGAAGTTGATGAAGCTTTCCACTTGACTGAAACACATTTTGTTCCCCATAGTTTAATACATACTAATAAAACATTTCTTTTAGTATGAACCTGAAGTTGAAAAATCTTGTCTGAGTGTCCTTCCGTTACCGTGGAATTGCCCCTTAACTTAAAGTTAACAGACTGACTGTCATGTAAAAACCTCACTATTCTCTGGAGAAAAAAAATCCTTAACTGCTATCTGTCATTTTATGGGCCAGGGGTAAACTAAGTTTCATTGCCAAGCTTAGAATATGTAGTTTTAGGAAATTAACAATAAAACAAACAAATAAAACAGAATATCCATTATGTACATGTACAGGTGTATGGATGGTGTTGAGCTGATGGTTCAATAATTTTGTGAAAATCTTCAGCAATTCTTGAAATACGCTTATACCAAGTGCAAAGACTATAGTAAGTTTTCTGCATTGTATTTTTTATGCTCCACACGGTTTACAATTTGAACGTTAGAATTAAATTTAAATTACAATTTCATATACATGTACATGTAGTCCCATAAGAATGTGAAAAAGTTTAGCGTTTTAAATTAAATCTATAATCTATATAATTCGAACAAAAAAGTGCTTTGAAATCCAGTGCCTCCCACAATCCATATTGAGCGTGTGTTTTCCAACAAATACTATCCACCCACTTGCTTCAAATCACATGACCACTGTACATACATCAGGGAAATACATGAGCATATCCACGAGTATGGCTTTGCAATTTGCAGGAAGTTACAGCATAGAATAGTAAGGTTCACACGACATTCTGCTGACTTTAAGTTTAGGTTAGGGTTTTAAACCTCTAAGTTATCTTGTGGTTAGGGCCCTTGCGGATGCACTAGTGGGTATGAATCTTTTAGTTTTGATTCTCAGAGTTATAAACTGCGGGTGATCTTCAGGGTAATGGGATGACTACAAGCGAGGGGGGGGGGGCGGGGGGGGGGGGTGAGGGGCAATTAATTTTGCAGTTACGCCAGTTTATAAAGTTACTGCTTGCCCTGCTTGTAGTTCAACATTATGAAAAAGTAGTTGTTTCAATCCAGTATAAGCCCTTGCCGTTGTTTATAACTTTGCAGTTTCTCAAACTTGAAGTTTAAAGCCTGTCTGTACTAGTTTGGCCAGGGGGGGGTTTAGACCTCCCTGCAAGGTCACTGACAGATGCTTATCTCATCAAATCAGCTCTCAATTAACATAAGGGAAAGGGGATCATGGGGGACCAACGGTCACCGATTAGGTATTTTTTGCTATATAGAGGGCTCAAGTATAAGTAGTGCAGTGGGGCTTAAAACCGTGATGGTTTCATGTGAACATAGCTATTGTCAATCAGAGAGGTCATTAGAAGGGGAAAGTCACATTTTAGATTGGACTGGCAATCAGTCTGGCTTGCTGGCTTGATACGTCCTGCAGCTGTCGTCCCAATCCCATGATCACTCACCCACATCTTAGCCCTCTACCAACCCGTTACTTAAAGCCCCACTGCACTACTTATAGCTGCTAGCTCCCTCTATATACACTGTACATGTATAAAATGTAGCAAACAATGCCTAATCAGTGCCTTTTGGTCCCCCATGATCCCCTTTTCTTATCTTAATTGGGAGCTGATTTGATGAGTAACCACCTACAGTACTAGTGACCTTGCAGGGAGGTTTAATCCCCCTGACCATACTAGTACAGATGGGCTTTAAAGGGGAAGTCCGACCTTTGTAATATTAGTTCACTGGAATGAAAGCAGAAAAATCAGAGAAACGGAAGTTTGAAATAAATTGGACCAATAATAAGAAAGTTATCATTGTTAGGAATGTGAGATCACTATTCTGCTAATCTCAGATTGGCCATTTTGTCATTGGATTGTGATATAGTGATGGAAAAACTCTCCTGTTTGCCACGTACAAAAATATCCCTTACACAATGTATGTCGGTTTTTCTCAAGATCCAAAAATTCCAGATCACAAGATTGGTTTTCTCTGTATGGGTGAAATTTGAAGCCTTCATTTTGTACACAACAAATAAAGTGAATAAAACACTGCAAGTTGCATAACTGAAAAGAAAATTTTCTGTAATTTTGCTTATAATAAATGTTTTTACCACAAATTATGATTTTTTCACAAATTGTGATTTTTGGCCATCTACAGGTGTACAAGTTTTTAGATTTTTTGCCATGCAAGTTCCTGCAACACCTTTTAAATATATGTTGTCCTTCACATATTTTGGGTATTGGTTCGAGAATGAACTTTATATTTGAGCAAAGGTGCCACTGTTTTACCCATTTCACAAGGGAAATTATGAAAGAGTGCTCCACTGTCAAAAGTACATATCCATTGGGATAAATTGACCTGTAGTTTTGATGACCTGGTTCTGAATATTTCATGAAAGCTTTGAAACAGGAGGAAACCCTGCTACTGTATCCTTCCTGCTCTCAAAACCTGTAGTGGAGTTTTTATTTTCTACCTTGGAATACTGGTACAACAATTATGCATCTGTTTTATTAAGTACATTTACAAATTTATGCGACAACGAGCCTAATTCACGGAAAATTATTTGCTGGGAGGGACTGTTCTTGGCATACTTTAAAGCAAGGCTGGCAAACTAAAAAAGTGAATAAATACTGATTGAAATTATGTGTTGAAATAATGGTTTGTTAGTTTCTTTAAGTTAAAGAAGACAATTGTTTGAATTATGTATTTTCATTGATTTTGATTAAATCGCATTTTAAAATCAAGGTCTATTTTTTGAAAAAGCAATAAAAGATAAATTTGAACTCTGATTCATACATGTATGTATTATTATTGATATATTATCTTTTTTTGTTAGGCAAGCAAATGCTTCTCAGGCTTTAATACAGAACCTTTAAGCACAATACCGTTAAAGGTATCAAAATAGGGATATTTATTTAAGATGGAACAAATTGAACATACATTGTACCCTCCCCCCCCCCCCCCTCTGTCCTGTGAATGATGTGCAAATCATGTCCTTGTAGCATCTGTGATAACTGATTAATAACGAAAAGGTAATGCATCATTACTGAGTAAATAGGATCTTACATAGGGTATTTCAATTCACCGTTTTTAGCTTCACGATGCCCAACAGGTTATTATGTTCTAAAATAGATTCATGCACACGTCATCATGACACCACTATTGGGAAATATGACAGGGTGCAGCTTTATTTTTGCTCTCACATTTATAATCGCGATATCATTTTTAGAGAGCCCCTAACATTCATGTACACATGTATACCCTTGACTCATCTGTTAAAAAGGGGGAAACATTATTAAAAACAGGGAAGATTGCTTGTCTGCTTAAAAGGAAATTGCAATCAAATTGAAATAGACAAACATGATGTCATGCACTTTACAATCAGATAGCATGTTTGTTCAGGAAACTCAGACCTTATCAATATGATGTAAAGCCTAAATGTTGCTCATTGGAAACATGTGTGTGGACTTAAACATGTTTGTGTCATGCTATCTTAAATGTACATCTTTCAGAAAAGACCTGTTCAGAATAGTAAATTTATATGAAGAAACATATAAAGAAACGTTGTTTGAAGAATCATCTTATAGCGAAAGGGGCGTATGACTAGATGACAACAATGCATAAAGAAACTCGTTTTGCAGGGGTCAATTGACATGACAGCTGAGTGAGCTGACCAATCGTTATTGCATGCTTATGATAAGCGCCGCCTATTATATCTGATTTTCATATGATGTAACATTCACATTCAGACTAGACAGATCCTGATTCTGATATTGAATGTTCGTTTGAAACGATAAAACAGGCGTTCGCTGTATGACGTTTCATTATACACGTACCTGTACTACATGTATGTTCAGACTTGGAAAAGTTAAGTACTTTGATATCCTATAGCTATATACTGTAGCCTACAAAGGATTTTAGAAGTCTGAATGCTGGGATAATGTGCCTTCTCCATTTTGACATGAACAGAAAGCTTTCAATACCCTTCAAACTTCAAAGGGTATTTAAAGTCCTCTTTTCATGTCAAAATCACTCCTAGATGAAAGGAGCTAACTTGTATGCAGGCAGGGAGGGAGGGATTTGATGAGGAGCACATGAGACATCCCAAGTCCCAATAATGCTTGCTTCCCAGCCAACTGCCATTGGCAAGGGGCTATTTTAGACTTACACTTTCTCCACTAAAGGCTGGGAAGAATGAACAAGTCTTTAGTCACTGTTTTAACCAAAAGCTGGTATGACAAGTAGATATCACCTCTGACAAGATAATGCTAAAAGCCAAGGCTTCCATCTCCACTGTTGGCCAGTGTTTTTGACTGATTAGACTATTCTGAATGGTGGAGGGGAGGGGAGGGGAGGGGAGGTGGAACTTCCTGGAAAGGAAGGGTGGTGTGAAATTGCATGCTGTCAGATTGCATTTGCCAACAAGGTTGTAGCCAAAAAATTCAACAAACAAACATTTGATTTTTTTTTTAAAGTCTCTAGTGTACATTATGGATTTACTGACAAAGCATTGATAGTAATAAATTTGCCTTGAAAATAATTTAATGGGGGATTCAAATCCCTTTCCTATTTAGCAGTGTCCCATTGGTGGCGCACACAACTATAGGGCACAGATTGTTAAAGTTTGATTTAATGAAAAGAGACTTGACAAGCATAGTAGAATAACCTTGTAGTCAAGATAATGTTTGGCTATGCTATGTACCTTTTGTTGTTAAAATGAGATACACAAAGTTCCAATGGTACTTCTACATGTACATATAGCTCTGCCTTATACTGGCTGTATACAATGTATGAAGTTTGCAGATGCGGTTAAAGCCCCTCTAAAGTGTTGGGAGGGGAGGTTTTGGGTTGGTGGACGAATCATAAATCTAATCCTCCAGTGAATTGGAAGTTACATCAACGAAAACTTGATGGCAAAATTTCACTTAAATTGTATTATAATGTGAAAGAAAGCACATTTCTGCAAAGATTTTCAAAACAAATGTTTTTGAAGTCGAATATTGATGACAGAATACAACATCTAGGTTTGCTGCCTCAAATTACAGTATTCTTTTATCAATATTTGTCTTCAAATACATTTTTTTGGGGGAGGGGGATTAATATTTGCAGAAATGTGTCTTAAATGACAGCTTCTTTCACATTATGGTACAATTTTATTTAAGTGAAATTTTGCCATCAAATTTTTTGGTGAATTTGGAGCTCCAGACACTTTAGAGTGGCTTTAAGAGGGGTAACTTCCAATTCACTGGAGGATTAGATTCATGATTAGTCCACTAGCCCCATACCTCCCCACCCTGCCTCCCCACCCTGCATACAATAAGAAGAGGCTTTACATTTGTATTGCTAGTTAATATTCTTCTTCTTAAAGATAAAGTTGAGTTCTGGTCATGTGATTGCATTGTGAAAGAAAAGGTGTGGAATGGATCAGAAAAAGTTGATCATGTCGCATGTAAGTATTGGTGTGTATTGCAAGTTTCTGGAGTCATCAAAATCATAATAAATTTTGCCCAGTTTTGGCAAAGTAACAAGCACTGTACACAGAAAGATGTATATGGGACTACACAAATGGTGTCGGGGCTACCAACCTTGATTTCCTTATCTTTCTTTGCTCATTTCTCAGCCAGTATACATTTACTACCAAAATTGTTCGGCAAATTACATTTATTTGTAATCTTGAACATTCAGTGTAATTAGTTTTGATTGATTATGTGAGAATTAATTTTCTTTTTTTACCAGAACTCTTTATCTTTAATATTATAATCGTTATCAATTGGATTTGTTTTGTTTTCCATTTTTTTCTCTGACCAGGTGTGCTCCAGAAAGTTTGAAGACCAAGCAGTTCTCTCATGCGAGTGATATGTGGATGTTTGGTGTGACGCTATGGGAGATGTTTAGCTTTGGGGAAGAGCCTTGGCTGGGATACAATGGAGCTCAGGTAAAGAATACATTGTCACTATATTACTGCTACTGCCGCTACTGTGATGACTACCCCCATTACTACTACTACTACTACTACTACTACTACTTCTACTTCTACTTCTACTACTAATACTACTACTGCTACTGCTACTACTACTGCTGCTACTGCTGCTACTACTACTGCTACTAATACTACTACTGCTACTAATACTACTACTACTACTACTACTACTACTACCACTACTACTACTTCTACTTCTACTTCTACTTCTACTTCTACTACTGCTACTGCTACTGCTACTGCTGCTACTGCTGCTACTACTACTGCTACTAATACTACTACTGCTACTAATACTACTACTACTACTACTACTACTACTTCTACTTCTACTACTACTACTACTACTACTACTACTACTACTACTACTACTACTACTACTACTGCTACTACTACTACTACTACTACTACTACTACTACTACTACTTCTACTTCTACTTCTACTACTACTACTACATGTATTGATACTTAAGTGCTGCCGGTACTGCAACCACTGTTACTATAAACACAGATGATACTACTAAAATAAACTTTACTACATCCAACACAATTAATAACCACCACCACTACTATCATTGCTGCACTATCTCTACTACCACCAACACTGCTAGTGATGTCACTACTAATGCCACTACCACCACTACCACCACCATTACCACCACCACCACCACCACCAGGACAACTATTATTACCATCACCACTATCACCAAAGCTATTACTACCACCAGCACCACCAGTACCACCCACACCCCACTACTATTTCCAACCCTACCATTAAACACTTCTGCTAACACCACCGGAGAAGACTACCAGTAATAACAATCACCAACATTGCTACCATTATTACCACATCGCAACTAGGTCTTATACCACCACCACCACATCACCACCACCACCACATCCCCACCAGCACTACCACACCTATCATAACTTTTCTACCACTGCCACCATGTACAACCCCTGCTACCATTACAACTGCTGCTACTACCTCTACTTTTACATCTGATCTATAAACTGCTCCTAGTGCAACTGCTATTCATACTTCCTTCATCAGTGTTCTCATGAAATGAGCAACTGCTCATTCTCTTTTTACATAGCGGTTCAGGGCATGCAATGCCTGTAAGGATTCCCTCTCTGCCTAGACTTTACACTAGAGTGTAAGTGAACACACTCAATGACCAGTGGCTTATTTCATAAGGAGTCTACTTCTTCACCTACTTCTTCACATGTCAAACAGTTACAATGATGCACCTGGGGGGTGTTTCACAAAGACTATAAGATCAACTTCAAGTTGGACTTAACTATGGCAGGCCTTTCATGCCACTGTTTGCTCTCACCATTTACTGGCATTGGTCTCTCAATGGACATACAAATCATGGTCACAAATCTACAGAATTTACATTTTTTGACAGTTCATTATTGAAGGAAAAAAATGTTATCTGAAGATCATAACGGTGAGAGCAACCAGCAGCATGAATGGCCTGCCATAGTTAAGTCCAACTTAAAGTTCATCTTAGTCTTTGTGAAACACTCCCCAGTTGCCACTAAAGAAGCTCTGTAGTTGCTAACCCACTAACTACTGAATTCTTTCATTCCCCATAGGTTTAACACAGGGACCACCGGTTTCAGTAGGCAATGTGTTTAATATAGATTCTTCTATTCCAACCTTGTCAATATCAGATTCTTCAGAAGATTGGGAAGGAGGGCGAGCGATTACCCCGGCCTGATCACTGCCCACCAGGTATCTACAGTTTGATGGAGATCTGCTGGCAGGCCAACCCTGAAGACAGGCCCATGTTCTCATCGGTCAAAGACCAACTTGACAAGGTAAGTGAGAGACAGGGCCCTTGCTGGTTTATCAGTTGGTAAAAATACCAAGGGGGCGGGGGAGGAGGGGGAAAAAAAAAGCCAAGGTCAAATTCTTTCCATCAAGGGTACAGACAGAGGTAATAAATACATGTTTGTCAATGCATACTTTCAACCTTTCCTTTAGTTCTCCCAAGTCACCCCTAGAACATTTAACACTGAGTTGCTCATAGCAAGGATGGGGCCTTTAGAAAAAGAACAAAAATACCCATATTCGTCAATGCATATTGTCAACCTGCAATTTCTTTGTGGAATGGACTTTATGCCAGAGTAGTATACAAATAATACACAGCAGTGAGGACATTCGTAAGAATTACCCACACAAGGTACCTTCGGAACAGTCTAACATGCCCGAGGCGGTAGCCGACAGTCTTTGGACTATTTTGAAGGTACTGAGTGTGAGTAATTTTACTAATGCTCGGACAAATGATGTGTATTATTTGTTTTATCAGATTATGTTTTATTTGTTTTATAACATGATTTTACTAATGACTGGTTGTTAGAATTGGATAATGACTGGTCATTATCCAAATTACGTGTTAGACAAAATAAATGCTTGGTCATGTGTACGCTTTCAACCAATCATTTGATTTGAATCCACGTCATCTTATAATATCTTTTCACTGCTGCTTTGTAGATGAAGCCGTTGGAGATGAGAGTAACCAAAGACCTACAATTTGATGAACCCGACAAGCTAGAATGCGAGGAAGGACAGATCATCACAATCATCGATGGCAAGTAAGTCAATGTTTTAAATGTATAATATTTCCACACAATACACGTGACATTATATGAAAGAAATATGAAAAATTGAGCTTTTGAATCAATGGTTTATTCCAAATGTATCATGACGTTCTCATTTTTCTTAGAATCAGCAGGAAAAATTGCATTTCATCTCGTCAGATAGTCACAAGGTTTGAGCACCATGGCAGAATTTTCAGGAAACTTTGATTTTTGCCAGTGTGACTGCAAATTTCCTGACAATGTTCCATATTTGCCGGCGTAAAGGCCGCAGTATTTTTGGAAGAGAAAACATCAAAAAGTCGGGATGCGGCCATTACAGCGAAAGAGTAAAAAAAAAAAAAAACTCAAGTCAAAACCAGTACGAATTTGCACATATGGGACTATGAACGGTACAATAGCTATACCACTATGGTACAGGACATTTCCACACATCTTACCAACAATTTTATCTTGCATTGTTGACATGAATACGAAAATACATTGCTAAACCAACATTTGCCGATAGATCTTGACCTAAGTTCGTGCCAATGCATTGCAAAAGTAAAGGAAGGGACCATTTAACGGAGCTGCCGCGAAGCATCAATCTGAAGTCGCCATTTTGTTTTCCATTTCATGCAGTTTCGCATTACATCGTACATTGTGGTAGGGGGTATATATTGGGACACCAAATCTGCCCACAATCACTTTTTGAGCTAAACTTCCGGTAAATTATAAGAATATTGATGAATTTGGTATCAGTTTGTAAAAAAAAATAGTGTTTTACGAGAAAAATTTTCCTTTTTTTTTTTTCTTCTTTTTTTTCTTCCCTTTTTGAAATGTCAAAGTTGGGGTGCGGCCTATGCAGCGATAAGGCCTTATCGTCGGCAAATACGATAGTTGAACTTTCCATATATACTCCTATTGAATTGTGAGAAATTAAATTCCTGTAATTTTTACTCCTGTAATTTTTTGTCAGTGTGACTGCAAAAGGTAGGCGTATTCCTCGCAAGCTCCTGGCCCCCGTGCCAGGATGAATCACTTGCAATGAAATCTCTTCAGAGTTTGTGCATTTTGACCACACATACTACTATCCCTTTTTTAATAACACACAGGCCAGAGGAGAATTGGTGGCTTGGGCAGAACATCCACACCCACAAGATAGGACGTATCCCTCGCAAGCTCCTCGCCCCCATGTCTGGAGGGATCACCGGGGAGGACATCAGCAAACCTATCAAATACAGCTTCATACACACGGGCCACGGAGGGGTGGACGGCAACACGTGGGGACACCCGGACAAGATCGATGAGTGAGTGCATGATAGCTCTCATAGATCATTCACATATATTAAACAGGAAGTTCACCCTCTGTTATTAAGTTGGTTTCAATGGAAGCTTTATTAAAACCCACTTATATCAGGATGGACTTCCCCTTCAATTTTCATTCAGTTTATGGTTTTATTCCTGCAAAATAGCCACAAAGCTAGATTAACCTCTTCTGTGCTGTGGGCAGTAAATACATGTAACATCCAAACAATCTGGTTTCCATCAATGTAAACACTGTTCAATGTAAAAACTGAGAAACGTCTTTAACTTTACTTCCAGAAAGAGTTACTGTCATGTAAAATAATTTGTGTCCAACTATCCTTGGAAAGAAAAAAAAAGTCGTAATTTCACTCATGAAAGTTTCTCTTTTGCAATGACATGGATGTTGAATACTTGTGTCTTATGACTGTGTTCCCTTTGATCATGTTCACACTACCTGCAGGACGTACTTGATGCCTTTGAAATTCCTGGATGAATGGTCCAATGAGGATGATGTCTCCAGTTCTAGACCTTCCCTGATGCTATCAGATCGACTAAAAAGTGAGTCCTCTCTTTTCAACGTCATTCATCATTTTATCAACACATAGATTTGCCATTAGGGACTTTTAGATTTAGTGGATGAGAACGGCGTGAAAGACCACTGATCATGTGTGTCTATGGCAAGCCGTTTTAACATTTATTCCTATTTCTTGATATTAAGAAATGATTTTCTGTTGTAAAGCAATGATAATTCTTGATATCAAGAAACGATTTTATGTTTTTAAAGCAATGGCAATTCTTGATATCAAGAATTGAATTCTTGATATCAAGAAATATGAATAAATGTTAAAACGGCTTGCCATAGACACGCATGACCAGTGGACTATCACGCCGTTCTCGTCCACTCAATCTAAAAGTCCCTATTGACTGTTGTTTGTGGAGTGTGATAAAGGACAAATGAACAAAGAATAGTATTCATCATAGTTTGGTGTCTTGAGACTTTGAATGAAGGAAAGACTCAATAACAAATCGTCATTTATCATCTAAATTGTCTGTTTTTGTGTATTTATCTATTGGCAAATTCAACACGACAGTGAATGTCTTGATGGAAGATTAATGTGGCATTTTAAAAGGTTGTACCAATGTTGGATTATTTTTCTAAATTTTAAAAGTTGAAAGCCTTGACAGCGATAAAGTCAATAATGAAGGGATTAAAAGTAAATATTTTCATTCTACACACACAGGGAACAGCAAAGAGAACCAACTGAAGAAAGACGCTGACAATTCATCACGTTCGTCATCTCTGAAGCGACAGTTTCGGGGGAAATTGTCCAACCGGAACTCTGCTAATTTAGAGAGTGAAGACGAGGACACGCGTGTCAAGGCGGGGGGTTCTGTCTTCTACGTACAAGGAACAGCATCCGGGCAAGCAGAAGGAGAGATGGGGCAGTCACAAACGGGTATTCTGATTGACTTTGCTGAGAACTCATTTGCCAGCACGGACAGCAGCATCGATTCCGGTTCCTCGTTCGACACTCCGTACGTAATGGACAGGACGTTGAGTCCAGAGGTCAATTCAAAGGCACCTTCGTTGCCGAGGCTCAACGGTGGCTTACCTCTGTATGATGATGTACCCAATGAAGCAGGGGATGCAAGTACTGTAACTGCAGAAGTGTCGAAAAAGAGTCAACCTCCGGCTCGCTCGTATTATGGTAACCAACAGATTATTGCAGATGCAGCTGCATTGGAAGACACGCCAACAGCGAGTGCGGACTCAGCAACGTACGCATCGGTGAATAAGGTCAAGCCTCCAGGGACAAGTTCCACTAAGACTAGAGTCAGAGCCAACCCATTTGCATCCAATAACAAACAATCATATAATGATCAAGCTACTAATGGTGCAACTTCCAATAATCACACAGGTAGTGATATAGAGAGTGCTAAAGTGCCACATGCAACAAGACTTTATGACGATGTGCCAAATGAATCAAATTTATCCAGTGACACTTTATCCAAGAACGCCACTGCTAAAGGGGACTGGGTTAACTTCTACGATGATGTTCCCACAGAGAGTGATCTTGCAAAGTTAGAATCAAAGGCGGGACCCTTGCCATTAAGAACATACGATGAAGTCCCTGTGGATGAGCCGCTCCAACCAAGAAGAACTGCACCTGGGAATGTCCAGAGTGTTTCCACAAGACATGCAGGACCTGCAGCAACCGCCCAGCAGCAGCCACAAAGTAGTGCGTCTCCAGGTGTTGCATCAAGAATGTACAGCGAAGTTCCTGTAGAGGATGTAGCCCAACCGAGAACTGCACCTGCAAACTTGCATGCTTATTCTAGTGACCGTTATGCTCCTTTTTCCAGACCTGCACCAACCCTTCAACCACAGAAAAGTGTGCCTGGTGCTGCTTCAGGTGCTGCCTTGAGCTTCTCGACTCACCCAATGGTGCCTGTGAAGACACCCTTGTCATCCTCACCGAGTTTAGACTGCTTTGATCCTCTAAAACAGGCCTCTGTCAAAGTTGACCGAAATCCTGAGAAAGTGTCCGAGCAGAAAGCTTATACGGCAGCTTCTGCTCGCAAAAACCAAGCTAGCATTGTGATCCCACCTCCGAGATCAAAAAAGAGCACAGGCAGACGAACTAATAACTTGGTGAATCAAGATAATGAGCCCTGTAGCACTGCAAAGGAAATCGCTAGGAAAGTAGACGGTAGCAGTGCAGACAAGTATGCTGCCATCCAGAGTACATCATCTGTCAATCAGGCACACTACACTGTGCATGATAGAGCAAGGCTACTTGAGAACAAGCCACACATTGCACCGAAACCAGGGATGAAGAGTGAAACGCAAGATGACAACTTCATGACGATGTGCTTTCCCCGTAAGACACAAGGATCTGAAAATGGAGGTTCTCATTATTCGGCCACGACCTCATCTAATGACATTCCTTTTGGCTTAGGAAGGCGAGCGCACAACGCCCAGGATGGGAGCCGAAAAGTGGTACCTCCTCTTCCCCCTCGCCACGCACTTGGAGAAGACGTGCCGCCAGCTGTTGGACCTCACCAATCAAATCAACAGCCTCCAGGTGGATCGATGATACTGCCTATCATGAAAGATGGTGTTCAAGTCAGTCACACCCATTACTATCTTTTACCAGCAGCAGCAACGTCAACGGAACCTCTTAATGTATCACCAAGGTCTCTGATGAGCGCACCAGTGGCCAGGACAGAACCACTTGGCAACACAGCTCATGTGAGACCACAGCTGAGGCACCCAATGGAGATGGCAAACCCAGACTACTTCATGAAGGGAGCTGACTCTGGTGGACAGCGTGGTGCGCAGGACGGGAGCTACTTCAGTAAGAGTGGCCCAGGAGCTGGCGCCAAGAGCAAGGATCTTCTTCAAACCTTTGATCTCTCGAACTTGAAACCTATCCTACCGCAGGGTACCGCCTCCACATCCCAACCCTCGCACATGATGATGCCATCGACGATGCCATCCTATTACAGGTCGACTTCATCAAGTTCAGCTCCGCCGACACCATCCCACCAAGCTGCAGCATCTGCGACACCATCATCCGGTGTCTGTATCCATGGCAACAAGTTAGGAGGTAACCGACCCGTCTCCGACCTTGACCTCATGGCGTCCGAAACGCCCAACTCGGCGGCGGATAAGGTGAAGCAGGTCCAGAAGGAGGTACACGGGGTGACGTCCGATGAGTGCAGGAATGCCCTGATAGGTGTGCAATGGGACGTCACGAAGGCGGTCCGGGATCTCAAGACAGAACAACTCTTCCAGCTTGGTAGTGCTTCCAAAGAACATTGTGAGAACCTGTTGAAATCGCTTGAGTGGAACCTAGAACTGGCCAGCTCCATTCTGCTGGAGCAGTCTGCAAGGTGATCAGAGACTCCTTGATGCCATGAACAACTACTAACTAAATTATAATGAAACTATTGTAAATTTTAACGAAATCAATATTTTTTACCACTCTTAATGAAATTGAACATCAGTAATCAATATATACTTATATCTTTTTAAAAATGGGGCATCGAGAAGTGGAACGTTCTTGTAAAGAGTGTTCAATCCAAAGAAATGCCCTTCTGTTGATCATGCTGATGGTAACGAATTTATTCTTGATAATATAAGATTTAAGCAAGCAAGTAATGTTAATATGTCTTTCAGGAGGATAAATAATGTGATTCTTCCCTTTAACAGTTGATAAATGTTATCATTGTGAATAATACCAATATGATATTTAGTAGGAGGATGAAAGCGATCAGTTTTTTCTTTTGGGTTACAGGGTTGGGGGAGGCAGAGGGTTTATTTATTTTCAAACTTTTGATTGAATAGAGGACTTTGCTTCACTTTCCAATACTGATGGTGAGCAAAAATTCTGATCATGAAGTTCAAGGAATAATTTAAAATCTTCAGTTTTAGAGAATATGTTGTTATGAAGATATTCTGACCAGTTAATTATTGCAGCATAAGCAAGGCCAGATTTTATTTTGGATAGTTTCAAAGGAGTGAATAAAATCTTTATAAGGAATGTCACTCTTTTCTCATCATGGATAGTTTGTTTTTAAATGAAGAAACAAAACAGTTCGAGTGGTCAGTATTTGAAATGCAGCCTCACACCCTATCTCTTGATTCATGTTTTTTGCATGATTTTATTCTACCCACATGTGCTATATGTATGTTTTATTTGTTTTACAAGGTATTGGACCAATAGCATCATAGTCTCGATTGAAGCTATGAATTCTTTGATCGATGATATTAACCCTTTTCTTTTCCTCATGAATTGAATATGGCTTTTAAACATGACTACGCAAATGGCATAGTAAGAAAAAAAGTGCTGATGCTTGTAAAGATATGTACAGTAAAAGCTATATGTATATAACACTATATAGATATATTATGTTTGTGGAGCATTATTTTTTTATACCAGATCATTTTAGATGTACAAATCATTCAAAAACTATATAGTCATTTATCAATGTGACATTTCTTCTCTGTCGTTTCATTCCACTGTTTTACCGGTAGTTAAATATCTTTCTGAATGTGTTCAGAAAGTTTGGTGGTGGGACAGGCATGTGTTTTCAATATATTAATAGGGCAGTTTAAGTCGTTTTTAAGTTAATAATCGCAAGTTTTCTCCTAACCCTTTGAGCACTAAGTCTTATGCAATGTATCCAACGCTCAAAATACACGGGGGCGGTGGGCGATTCGCCCCCGTGAGCTCCACAATCGCCCCCGTCAGATGGTTCACGGGGGCGATTGCAAAATTAAAAATCGCCCCCGTGGAAAATTTAAAATAAAGATTATCTTTTCTGATATAACTTTAACACAATATTGTGTATCAATTTTCAAACCTTAAACCAATCAAATGGAACTAATTAGATGGCGCTTTCTCTCACATCTCTATGAGTATTACCGATACAAACAACAGAGCTCGCAGTGCAGCTGTAGTGCGGCCGTCAGCAGTGGCTATACTGCGCCGGTAGTGCCGGTGTGCACGCTGACGCCCAATATCTGCTGGAGCTGGAGACGATCGCGCAAGGACTGAACATGGAGAAGTTTTTCGTTGTGAAAAGTGTGAATCCTCTGAAATCTGGTTATTCTAAAAAATCAGCAAATAATGTAACTCGACCAGTAAATCAATATTGAGAAGAAGATCACCAAAGATGTTGCAGGGGCGGATCTAGGCGGTTTAGGGGGTTTAACCATCCCCCCCCCCCCTCCCTTGGGCTGCCGAGTGAAAATGTGATGTGCATAGAAAAATGCTATCATGTGTCATTGTGTCCAGACCTACACATAATTAGTAGATTTCAGTAGATGCCAGGAAAACATCACTTACGGGGGTTCAAAATAGCAACAACAAAAATCGCCTCGCCGCTACGCGGCTCGTGGACGATGTTCCACATCGTATTTGGGTTACCCCCCACCCCCCACCCTTAGCAAAAAGCTAGATCTGCCCCTGTGTTTTGGAAGGATATGGTAAAAACTAAAAGTAAAGAAAGAATGTATATAAGGTTGCTCCGAATAATGAGGAGGACATTATGTGCAGAGCGGGAAGAAATGGAGAGAATGTCATCACGGAGATAAAAGTCAATAACAGCTATATGTAACAAGTACATTTTTAAGAGGGAAAATGCCGACTTAAATAAATGATAATGATAAAATACCAAGGAATTTAGGAGTTTCATGGGTACCAATTCAATGACAATTTGTATTAAAAAAAGAGCCCCCGTCGGTACTAAAAGAGCCCCCGTGAGAGGGCTCACGGGGGCTCTTTTTTTTTTGGAAGAGCCCCCGTGGACAAAAAATTAATTTGAGCCTTGAATGTATCTCATATTTATATGTATTATGAGACAGTTGTTTAGTTGGGACTTGACACTAACAGGTGTCTGAACACATGGATGCCAAAATTCTAGGTCTCCCTCCGCCCCACCCCCCCCCCCCCAAAAAAAAAAAGTCATAATCTCTATATGGATATATGCTCCTAAACGAAATTCATTTAATTTTTATCTTGAATAATGATAATAATGATAATCTTGAAAATATATGAATGTCTGGTTACTGAAAAGAATCTTTTCATTCTAAAGCATAAAGCATCCCCAACAATTATTTTGCAGAACCAGGTATAAACTTAATCTGTTTCTAATCTACTCTGTTATGAAAGTTATATCTCTTCCCATACAGATTCGTTTTTATAAGAATATCCTCATAATATATCATCAACTGCACTTGACATTATCCAGAATTCTAGTTTTCAAAATAAATGATTTTTAATCAGAATTAGGCAGATATCCAAACGACCTGAACTTGTTAATTATACAATATTTCATCACTATTTATTTGGAAAATTTATGTGATCTATGTATTCTGTATAGATTATCAATATGACTGGTATTATTGTACATATGTACATGCTTATGCAAATACATATCTCAAAACATATTTACCAATGAGTAACTGTAATAGAAAGTAGAGCAAATAATATGAAACAGTGCTGGAATCATTTCCCTAAAATGTAGCCTGTGAAACTGTTGTTGTAAAGTTCATATATGCAAGTATTTATATATGTTGTACTCATGGTCATATTTTATTGTTATGCAATTATCTCTTTCACATTATCTGCATGTGCAAAATCATTCAAATGAGCAATGAACACTGTTTCCAATGCATATTTCTGTCTTCATATTTTGGAATTCATTATTTAGAATTCATCATTTGCTAGAAGGGTAGGCAAATGTGTACGTCCCAAATTCCTAATCTGTTGCCAAAGATGGGAGAATACGTAAATGATGCAATAATCGTTACTAGAGAAGTAATTTTAGAGGAATTCCATGAGATTGTCAGTCACTTTCAACATGTTTTTGCTTCCGGTATAGCTTTTTGACAGACCTTCCAACAGTGGAATAGTGCATGTTCATGTACCTTTTATTAAAGCACAACTTTTGACTGGCACATATGCACAAAATATTAAATGGAATTCCTAACAGACTACCTTATGTTTTGATATAGAGTACTGAAGCTGTGACATCATAAAAATACAATTTTGGAATTTCTCAATTTTTTCTTCATTTTCCGAAAGAGCATCAAAAATAATGTCCAAATGTCGAAAACCAATTGAATATGTTAAGCTTTGGCAGAGATATGACTATCTGAATACCGGTAAATAGATTTCCGATAGGAACTCAGTGTTACATTGCTCTGGCTCCAGAGCAATGTAACACTGAGTTCCTATAGGAAATCTATTTATTCAGATGGTCATATCTCAGCCAATACTTAACATACATGTACACGTATTCAATTGGTTTTTCGACATTTGGACATTATTTTTGATGCTCTTTCGGAAAATGAAGAAAAAATTGAAAAATTCCCAAAATAGATTTTTGATGACGTCACACTTCACCACTCTATTCTCTGGATATTTTTTGGCGATTAATCTTGTGGTATTAGCCTTGATAGGCAGATATCTTGTAATTTTATCATTCTGTGTGAATTTTGTTTGGGTCTATGAAATTTCATAGTCATCATTACTGTATTTCATAAATACTACCTTTAAATGCTCTTTTAGAGACGATTTGGTAGACCACCGCACTTTTTAAACAAAATGAATAGCAACTGCGTGCAACAACGGTCCTACGAATATTCACTGAGCTCTCTGTTATAATGTTGATGTATACATTTTTTAACGTAGCGATATACCACGACATATACCTGAACAAGTCTCATTATGTATTGTGTGTCTCCAAACTGTATGGGTCAAATATGGGGTCAATATACCAAGTCAAAGGTCATATAGAAATAGAGTATTCTTGTGTATGGTGAAAGAATTTGGTAATTGATATATAGTCACCTGTAAACAGTCTAACTCTTTGGGGAGCATGGGGGCACTGCCCCCAGTAAAACTGAACAGGGCATTCCTAAAGCCTCGGTCACAAATGCCATTACGAACTGCTAAGAATGCTGTACGAACGATTTTCAGACAATGGAAAAACGGAGATTTGTACGAAATTATCGTTCGTACGAACCTTTGTGACCGTAGCATTACACACAACTGAATACAAAATAAGAATGTGCCCCCCCCCCCAACTGTGCTCCAACTGGAATCAATATTACTTGTGCACCCCCCAGTATGCTTTAAAGAATAAGATAATTCTGGATCTGCCGATGTGAACAATGCTAAATTTCATAGACATTGCAATGACGGTCAATTAATGTTCATCTGAAAATGATTCTTTACATTATTTTCTTTAGGAGATGTGAACTTGTTGACTTCTTCTGTTACCTCATGATGAGATTCAGTTTTATTCTTCTTTCCATTATCCTCTTTTCTTGCCATTTTCATCCCTTCTCTCCATCCTCATCACTGAAGTAGACAAGAATTACAATTCTTTGTTCTTTCTCTTGTTTGGTCAACAAGCCCTCAATTATTGGAGGAGCTCGCGCCTTTGAATTTTTTATTAAACAGATAAATGGCGCCATGCAAACGCTGTGAATCATCATCATCATCATCATTTAACAACAAAAAATTATTTCTTCAGTTTGCCAGTGCAAAATCTAACACATCTCTACTCAATCCTTCTTTCCCCCTCAAAAGCTTTCCCCTTCCTTTCTTGCAATGAATATCTGTCTTTATTCTTCATTTTCCTCTTCCTCAAAGTTGTGACCGTAGCAATATATACTTGTATATTTTTGTATGCAATTACTGAATGCCTACATGTTTGCATTTTGGATGGTTAGAGTCATTTGTATGAGACATAGTGGCAAATGCAGACGTCATTCAAGTTTTTTTTTACTCGAAGTTACAACAAAACCAATGCTTGCAATGTTATTAACCCTTTTAAATTAAATATGTATAAGAACAACAAAAACTTGAGACTTATGTTTTCATGTTTGTTTTGTTTTGAAGTTCCAACTGTTTCTTGTCCTTGGGTTGAGTACCGTTTTGGGTTGAATACCCAGTTGGTACGTCTTTTCTTTTTTTCTTTTTTTTTAATTTCGCAAAAATAGACCGACTTTTAACCCCTTCTTTCTCACAAAAAGTATACAGTTTAGTGTTATTGTATTGATTTATTGATACAAAGTGAACGTATTACACAAAGTACATAAAGGACAGCATTATACTGTTTTATCCATCAAACTTAATTTCACACAACACTTTTTCAGTCAGAATGCTCAGACAAGAAAGGCAGAAGTTTCGGGGAGATAGTTCGAGTGTAATAGCACCAGTGCAGTGATAAAGATTGATTTGAAATACGAAGAGAGAGAGAGAGAGAGAGAGAGAGCTAAGGAGAAAAGGGGTTTTTGGAGTAAGAGTAAGTTTCGGGGAGATAGTTTGAGTGAAATAGCATCAGTGATAAAGATTGATGTGAAATACGAAGAGAGGGAAGGGAGAAAAGGGGTTTTGGAAGTAAGAGTAAGTTTCGGGGAGATAGTTTGAGTGAAATAGCATCAGTGATAAAGATTGATGTGAAATACGAAGAGAGAGAAAGGAGAAAAGGGGTTGTGGGAGTAAGAGAAAGTTTCGGGAAGATAGTTTGAGTGAAATAGCACCAGTGATAAAGATTGATGTGAAATACAAAGAGAGAGAAAGGAGAAAAGGGGTTGTGGGAGTAAGAGAAAGTTTCGGGGAGATAGTTTGAGTGAAATAGCCTCAGTGATAAAGATTGATGTGAAATATGAAGAGAGAGAAGGGAGAAAAGGGGTTGGGGGAGTAAGAGTAAGTTTCGGGAGATAGTTTGAGTAAAATAGCACCAGTGATAAAGATTGATGTGAAATATGAAGAGAGAGAGAGAGAGAGAGAAGGGAGAAAAGGGGTTGTGGGAGTAAGAGTAAGTTTCGGGGAGATAGTTTGAGGGAAATAGCATCAGTGAAGATTGGAGAAGAAAACAAGATCAATGCTAATTTCGATTAGAGGGAGGAAGGTCGTCGAATTGCAGGGGGACTGTGCATGCGCAACCAAGGCAGATAGATATTATTATGTTTGTAATTTTTTATTTTTTATTTATTTTCTACTAATTATCATCAACATTATCTTCATCATAATTATTTCCCCCACGTAAGAGAGATTTAGAAAAAAAATGTATCTGCGCCCCCCCCCCCCCCCCACACACACACAAAGAACCCTTGTTTGTTTTGATCCACTTATGATATTAGTAAGTAGTAGTAGTCTTGTCACAGTCGTACGAAAAGTAAATATCACGGGCTGGAAGCCAAGACTACGCGCGGGTATCAGCTGTGCTCGAATTTTGAAATGCACAACTGAGAAAGAAATGCTGCTTTGAACAAAATGTTTGAAAATTTAGCATTGATAGCCTCTACGGCTCTGATTGTGAGATATTTACCCAAATTCCGACAGTGGAATCTTCCCGTTCATGTTGGTGGATACGTCAAACCCGGCTTTGAAGAGGTCGAGGAAGTATTCAGGTGAGTGAGCCCAGTCCCACACACTCAAAAATATGATGTAAATTCGCCACCTACCAGACGCTCGTCCAATATTGAAATGTTAAAAGTGAATTGATTGATGAATGATTATGATTTAAAGCTGGATTTTTTTTTTTTTTTTTTTTTTTTTTTTTTTTTGGGGGGGGGGGGGGGGTTGTATAAATAGTAATGACGAGATCCGATATGATAAAGATACTGTTCATTGTATGGTCTAGAAATCATGATTTCTTTTTTTTCCCCCTTCTCTTCCATGGTTCATCAGAATTTCGCCAATTTTTTTTCAGGCTTCGGCATGAATAAATTCCTGAAGCATTTTTTGTTTTTGTTTTCTTCTTATTTTTGATGTTGTTGAGAGCCAGAAAGTTGTTCGTTCTATGAACACTCCTCTGACTCTCGGCAGACGACTATTCTTTATTTTCTTTTTTTTAATGTTCATTCTGCCAGGAGAAATTTTGAGAAAGGACCAGAAAAAAGAAAGAGTGGCTCTGGATTTGCAGTGTACCATAAAGGAGAGAAAGTAGTCAACATCTTTGGGGGTTACGCTGATGCAGATATCCTGCAATTATGGCGAGAAAATACCCTGTCACTTGTATATTCTACATCAAAAGGTAATGAATTACGTGTGCTGCATTAGGTGCTACTAGACTGAAAACCGGAAGAATTAAAGGAATATGAGAGATGAATAAGATTTGATAATGCCTTGTTGAATACTAGGTCATCAATACCTTTGTTGAACTTGTAACCCATTAAAAATGATGCTTTGAAAATAATAGCTGTAGGTAAAGAGGGAATTAAATAACCTTGCATCATATGTTATGTTGATATTGATTCAGACATTAGTGATAACATTAATCCCATTAACCATAGTATTCTGTAAAAACTTATGGATGTACACATCATGATTACATTAGATCAAGGGTAACTTTGTCAGCCCTTGTTGGTCATTGTCAAAAGTTAACATTGTCACCACCTACATGTATATACATTTTATCCCAAAAATATGTTACTTTTTGGGGGAGTTAAGTAGGCCTGTGGCTTTAATAATATTTTGTTATATGTAGTGATGGTTTTATTGTACTGTAGTAAAAGCTTTATAGTACCCTGTAGTAACATTTTGTATTAAATTCATCAATTTTTTTTTTGACAGTTGTAGGAGCTATTTGTATTGCTAAGCTGGTAGATGAAGGAGTGCTGGAGTACCAGAGACCTGTAGCTGACTACTGGCCTGAGTTTGGAGCAAATGGCAAGGATAGAATCACAGTACAGCAACTCATGGAACATAAGGTCTAGGCCAGTATTTCATACAGTTACTTTTAACTAATGGGCCTTAGATTCATGGTCAAACAAAGCTCTGGACCCTGCCTTATAAACGAATTGCGATTGATTACAAAAAATTGCAATTTATATCAATTGCATCTCTCTTCTAAAGAGATGGGAGATGCGACTGATATCAATTGTAAATTATTTGTAATCAATTGTAACTCTATTTAATTAAGATGAGGCCTAGAGCATCATTACATGAGACTTTCATAATTAAAAGCTCACAACTTCACTAACATCCCATGGAAATGTATGTTAATTATAATGCAGTTGTTTAAGTGGGATGTCTGCAAACTTACAGTATGCTTACAATTGTTTTGTGAGATGATGCCTTAGTTCCTTCTACCGTTGATGTTTTGTGAGATTTTATTGTTGCCACCCGGGCAACAAAGACATATTTTCACTGACTCCAAGTACAATTTCCCTGGCTGGAATACTTCTTTATGTTATAAACAACCATTTCAAATGTGCTATCGTTTAGTAGGTGCTCTGAAATATGCTCCATCAAAAGCTGCTCTGGACTTAATTTTTTCGTCAAAGAAATACTGGTAGGGCAATGTGAGGATTGCATTATTTGGGTGTTAGGATACATGTATGTTTGTAGAGTGGTTTGTCTAGGATTTAAATAAAAACTTTGATCAATGTAGGATATTGCCTGTTAACCCTATTTAGCCCGGGCTATTTTGAAACTGCATAGCCCAGGGGGGGGGGGGGGGGGGGCTTCTAAGGCCCCCCCCCCCTATGATTTCGGCCATGAATATTGATAATTTCTTTATGTATTTCTTTGTTTTTTTAACTTATGTATTTTATTGTTTTTGTTGTTTTATTTCATTTCCAACTATAATTCAACTATTTTGACCCCAAAATAAACACCTAAAATATAAACAAGACTAAATAACCAATGCTTTATCTCTTTATTTGAAAAATGAGATTTCCATATGTTTTGTACACAAATCACAAAAATGAGCGATTTTCAGGCTGACATGCAAAGACAAAAGGACACGTGACTTTGTAATGGTAGGTCCGATTTTCGAAAAATTTCTTTCAAAAGATGCCCAAGACTCGAAAGAAAAAAGTTCCAAAATTTCAGTGCAAGATTTTCTTGCGTTAAAAAATTATTGCGAAAAATGTCGAGTAGGGGGCTTCTAAAGCCCCCCCCCCCCCCCGGGCTAAATAGGGTTAAGCAATAGTCACCAGAGCATGTGTAGTTAAACACTTCACTTGGTCATTTCAACTCAGGCAGGTCTGCCGCTATTCCCGGAGCCGATCACATATGACTTGCTGCGAGACAAAGCCAAGCTGGGTGCCATGTTTGCAGCGGCTTCCCCCTGCTGGGAACCAGGCACAGCTCATGGTTACCACGCTGTCTCCATCGGCCCTCTTACAAGCGAGCTCCTCAGGAGAGTGGACCCCAAGGGAAGGACGCTTGGAAAGTTCTTTGATGAGGAGATTGCAAAACCCTTTGGTAAGTGTCATCGACATTAAGAACCCTATGCACTCTTTATAAAGTGAAGGGGGAGGGACCTTGATGTTGTGGTACACCAAGTCAGTTATATTGAGGGGAGAGGGATGATGGTTATAGTGAATACATTTGCTGTCCCCTCCATAGCACTGGTGATGCCAAATCATTCGTAATTTCAAGATGATGGTGAAGATGATAATGATGATGATTATTGTGATAACATTAACAAAAACCATGACAACAGCAAAACACAATGACAGCAACAATGATGGTAGTGATGGTAATACCAATGGCAGTGGCAATGGTAATGATAATTTGGTGCTTGTAATGGTAATGATGTTTGTACTAGTAATGGTGTTTTTACTTGTAATGATGTTTGTACTAGTAATGGTGTTTGTAATCATGGTAATGATGTTTGTACTAGTTATGGTGTTTGTAATGGTAATGATGTTTGTACTAGTAGTGTTGTTTGTATTGGCATAATGGTAATGATAATGGTAATGGTAATGATAATGGTCATGGGCATTGTAATAAAGATGGTAAAAACCAGTTGCATCCTCCTTTCCCGTATGTGTCACGAGACTCTCGGTATCAATACTGCTACAACATCTCATTCATCTTCCAACTTCTAGGTATAGATTTCTTCATCGGTCTTCCTCTGGAGCAGAACCACCGCACAGCCAAGCTGATCTGTGCAGATCCTGGTCCTGGTGTTTCATTCCGGTCCGTGAGAAACTCTTCCAAGAACAGGACCGCTATAGCAGGAAGCATGAAGGACATGACGTACGTCACAAAACTGGTCCAGAATAGTGGAGAATTGAAGGATGTGAGTAATAACCAGGGTCTAGTTTAACAAAGTCTTTTTTCATTTACAATTGACAAAAATCAGTGACAAATCTGCCGATAACCAATCAGAAGCAAGGATTTCACTAGCTTATATCAGAAACTATCATTTGTCACCTATTGACAAGTTTGTGAAATGAGGCCCAGGAGGAGCATACCTATGGTGGGGGTTATACCCATTCTAAAAGGTCCTGGTCGTCTTGTCACATTCTGGTCAATTAAGAACTCTACGAGCCCTATGTCAGGAATTGTGAGGGACTTGACATATGTTACAAAAAATGGTCTTCAATGGAGGGATATTTAAGGAATATGATTAACTGTCGGCATGGTTCTAGGCCCTGTTTCATAAAACTTCTTATCAATAACAAGTTACACTAACCATTATAAGCTACTGAAAATCGTGGCATTTGATTGGCTGTGAGCAAATTTGATATAGGTATTTAGCATTTGTTATTGATAACAACTTTTATGAAACAGGTTCCATGGGAAAGAGGAGGGAACCTTCCCTTTCTAAATGTTTCTGTCACAATTCTGTACATGAGTTGAAAAATAGTCGATCGTAGACTTTGTGAGAGGTCTGTAACCGTGAGGTGCTATTAGGACTTTTGCTCTCTTCCCTGTTGTTGTATACTTACGTTCATATTTTTATGATCATCACAGTCAAGAGATTGAAACACTAGACTGGCAATGTGAAGGTTGTGATTTCAAATTCCTATCACAGTACAATTGACTTTGGCAATACATTGATCTACTTTTGCAGTCGTAGACCCAGATTTAGTCTGCAAGCACAACAATCCATAGACTAGCGTAAGCCAGGATGTATTAGAATACAAGTAACAACTACGGTAAATCATTCATACCCTTACCAAATTTTCTCTAATTGTTTAAGCATGTGAAAATTTTGTCGGTCCCTATTATTTTCTTGAGAATGTGCCGTACTAGAACTAACATCTAAAAGTATTCAACAAAGGACCTAAATCAACAGGTCCACCCTTCATTCTTGAGTTACAAAAAAAACAAAACAAGTGCTATGAATAATTTAGTTATTCGCTGTATCTGGTTACTGTTGGATATAAGTTTTTCACAATGAGCCAATTGTATTTTTTATATTTTTTACTATTGTTGTTCTTTGCTTGGCAGTTCTTCAGGACACAAAACAACCCAGAGTATCGGGCTGTGGAAATCGCATCAGCGAATGGCTTTGGGACAGCCGAGGCTTTAGCCAAGGTACTTTAAGCAAGGGATATTAGCCTCTGAGTGTGTGTGGCTAGGCATGTGATAGTTTGTTCCCCCTGCCCTCTAGGTGCCTGCATTAAAAAAAAAGTTTAATTCCAATTGCTTGTTCACATTTTGCAACTTAAACAAAATATTAAAAAAGCACCCCTTTGATCTAGCACCCCTGGGCCTAAGATGTGGTCGAGCTTTGATAAGCAGAATTTTAAATTAAATATTAAATTCATCCCTTTTTTATGCCCAAATGGGAGAATGCCAGATGAAAAGGATTGCTTGAAACACTCTCCTAAGTCATGTATTATTAAAACCAGTTTGCAAGTTTGGACCAATTTTCTGATGCCATGTGTTCCTGCAGTAGCATACATGTATGTCCAAATTTAGCCATCTTTTCTTTTAATTCACCGAAAGCATTACCGTAGGCAATTTGTTATAATTTTAATGATTCCAAAACCTTATGCACAATATTGCTCTTTCCTACATTCACAGTGATGAAGATTATTGATTTTGTTTTGTTAATGATCAACAGTTGATGGGGATTCTAGCTGTAGGAGGAACAGACCCCGTCACTCAGAAGACCCTTCTCTCCAAGAAAAGAGTGGAGTCTTTCTTGGAGTCTGAACCAGAGACGATAGACAAGGTCATCCAGATCCCCATCTCATGGAAGTGCGGCATGGCAATAGACGATACAGAGGTAGGAGAATCAACCTTCTTATCGCCACAGAGGTGTAATGGTGTATTACAGGGCTTCTCAAAGTCCAGGGGAGTGTTTCACAAAACTTGTCATCAGTGACAAATGACAATTTGTGTTATAAGCTACTGAAATCCTTACTTCTGATTGGTTATCAGCAGATTGTCACTGATTTTTGTTATTTGTCATTGAGAAAAGGCTTTGTGAAACACCCCCCAGACCATGGTCCGTATCTGCACTGCCTGGGAGGCTCTGCTTTTGAAATTATGTTGTAACTATTCCCAGTGTCATTACTGAAAATTTGGGAATTAGATTGTGTCTGAAACAAAATTACATAATAATAATCTCCTTTCTCTCTCTTTCTCACTTACTGTAAATCTTTCTTTCCCTCTCTCACTTTCTCTTTCTATCTTTATCTCTCTCTCTCTCTCTCTCCTTCCCTCCCTTTTCTTTCTCTCTCTATCTCTCTTTCCATTTTCTCTTGATCTTGTCCTCTCTCTCTCTCTCTCTCTCTCTTTCTCTTTAATACACCTTCTCTTCCTTCCTCCCCATCTCTCTCTTCCCTTCTCTCTCTCTCTCCCTCTATCCCTTCCTCCTTTTCTTTCTTTCTCTCTATCTCTCTCTCCACTCTCTCTCGATCTTTTCCTCTTTCTCTCTCTCTCTCTCTCTCTCTACCTCTCTCTCTCTGTTCTCTCTTTCTCTTTAATACCCTTCTCTTCCTTCCTCTCTATCTGTCTCTTCCTTTCACTCTCTCTCTCTCACCCTCTCTCATCTCCCCTTTCACCTCCCTCCCACCATCCTCCCATCTAGGACGGGGGTAAGATATTTGGTCACCCTGGTGCCGGAGGGCAGGTGGCTTTCACCGATCTCGAGCATCGCCTTGGTTACGCCTTCACCAGCCGATACGCTGCCCCTTTTGGCTTCGGAGACGACCCACGATTTAAGAACTTGCAGAAAGCTATGTATAGATGTGTCAAGAAACTAGAAGTCATGAATTAAAATGTAGAGGTGTGGTCGTCTAGGGGAAAAGTCACCGGACTGTGAACAACAAGGTATGGGGTTCAAATCCCTGCCACATTACAATGTCCTTTAGCAGCACATAAATCTACATTTGCAACTCTCAACCCAGGGGAGGTAAATGGGTAACGAGCAGGAATTAATTCTTTATTGGCAGCCATGCTTAAGGCTGGGTTATAATGGCGGAGTGCAAGGAGTGTCAAGTCTGACTTAAGCACTCTACAAGAACCCACTATTTTGCTATAACCCTAGTATCAAAATAAATCTCATATTAAATTGATTCAATCTTTGAAAACAAATGGAATATGGGTAATTTTTATATTTTACAACCCACTCCTAGATCTTAATCATTTGATTTGTCAAACAAAGCCACGTGTGAGACTGTTTGAGACTATAACACATTTTTAAAATTAAAAGTGTTCATAAGTTTCAAGTACTATTCAGTAATTGTACAGTTTGGTGTAAAAATGCCAAAGTAAAAATGCCAGAGGTAGAAATGTCAACTGCTGTAGTTTACCACTTAACATTTGAACAATGCAATAGGGCTAAAGGAAAGAAAAAATTATTAAATGTATTTAAAAAGATGATTAATGTGTTTCACCATGTATAAAAGATGATCTATTTTTATATTGTGATATGAAAATTACTGTTTTCTTTCTGGATTTTGACTTGTTTGTGCAATAATGATCATGTTCATGATGTGCTTATTGAACTGGTATCCATGTAAATCTACCAAAGCTTTTTAAAATTTCTTACTAGTAAGATATCTTAGCATGTTGATGGAGGGTCGTGTATATTAATGCAAAACAAAAGTAAAGCTTTCACTTTTGCCTTTGGATTTAACAAGAAGTATGCATCACATAGCATTTATGAAATTTTGCATCCAATTTTCTTAAAATTGCTGTTTTAAATCAACTGTCCGGACACACAATTACTTGGTATAATTACCCCCAATCCTTACATTCTCACATTTTTTTTACTATGAAGGGCAGCAAAAATAAAAAAAGCCATATTCTACTATAAGTAATTATATGAACTGTACATTAAAACATGATGTAAAACAAATACAAATTGTTGATCCATTGTTTTCTTAAAGGTAAATTTCCTGAAAATGAGTCTTATTTTGTTCTATACCAAGCTCACCTATTTGTACCTTTTTTCAAAATCTTAAAATTTGTAATTTTTCAAAATGTAGTTTTGAGTGAGAAGCATTAGCCAGTTAATCATACAAATCTAAAACGAATGGAATAGCAAGCAATCAACCAAACAAACAAACAAAATTATTTGTGGCTTCCTTAATTCACCTACATGAATTGTTACCATAACTAATTTTTTAATTCTTATCATGATATAAAGCCACAACAAATTAGCAATGATTGTTACCATAACTAATTATTGTTACCATAACTAATTTTTTAATTCTTATTATGATATAAAGCCAAAACAAATAAGATGTTAACTTGATTCTGAAAGGCACACTTCCTTGCTATGACATTAAGCATGGAGAGAATAGAGCGTTGAAAAGATGAATCTTGTCTCCCCCTGCCCTCTCTATATTGAAAATATTTGAATTTCTGTTGAGTGCTAGTAAATGTTGAAGCAGTATGTTATTTTTCTCGTCTTTGAAATCTCGACATTTGATAATAATAACAATAATAATACATAAGATTTATAAGGGGCCAAATCAACTTGACAATCAAATACTCAAGGCGCAGCTTGTGCAAAAGATGAAGTACATGATATATATATATATACATAAGTGCAATAGGAAATCACAATTATGTAGTGGCATCGGTATAATAAGATGGATTCCAGTTCACTTGAGATGCTCTCATGTGTGAAGTCTTTTAATTGGGTTCCGACGGTGATGGAAAAGAAAGAGAAAAATCTAAAGACATGGGAAGTCGTGGAAATAGATCATGGATGAAGGCCGTGTGTAGATGTGGCAGCCTTCCAGTTTGAACCAACAATGAGCGTGATATTTGTACGCCACCTGGATGCCGCAGCCATATCAAAATGGTACTTATCTGATCGTAGGAAAAGACAAAAGACACAGTCATGGAAACTCATTTAATTTGGCTCTCAAATATCCGTGGAAACCCTGCATAAGTGTCTGATTTGATACACTTTTGGGGCATCTTAAGTTTTGTGACATGTTCTAATATTGTTAACTGTTATCATGCCACATTGTGCCAAGCCCCCCCCCCCCCCCCCCCCGTGCCAGGTTTATTTTGAGATAATCTGATTAACGCGATGGTCCAATGAATAGCGCATGCGAAACACACAGCACAGTCCAATGAGCATGAACAATAACTGCTATTACGAATGCGTGCAATCATGCACAAGGCAGGGACGCAATGGTTTGCTGGCATGTACAAAGCGCTATGACGGTAGCGTGCATGCAGCCTCATGGCAGGCTATGAGTTAAAGCGGCGCAGATATGTAGAGCAACATGTGTAGCACTTTATAAGTGCAAAAAAATAGAATGAAATACTAATTGTATTTTGGACTTATTATTGTTATCACATATTTCTGATTAGGTATTGTCATGATAATGAATATGTATCAGATTATGCAAATGTGACACCTGTGACCTCAGGAGGTCAGATCGCATGTGCGCGATGTATATGCGATACGCGTGACTGGATACCCAGTGCGGGGAATAAACACCAGACTATGGTTTATGGAATTCAACTACTTTGTTAGTTTGTTTGCACTTAATATGTGACATTGGCGACGAGGATTAATGTTTCTTGGATGTTGAATCTGTGGCTACGAGCTGGAAAAGTTTCAACATGGCATTCGCTGGAGCGGAATTGTTAGCGCTTCGAGGAGTTCCACACTTCGATCCGACGGGTGGTGCAAGTATTGTCAGCGGCAAGTGGAAAGCTTGGCTTGAAGAGTTCGAAGCCTACGCCGATAGTCGCGGCCTGTTTCTGGACGGATGTACGCCGGCCCAGGAGGCTCAACGGAGAGCATTGTTGCTGTACACTGCGGGTCCTGTGGTAAGGGAGACTTTCAAAACACTTCCCAATAAAGGAGAGAGGAATGAGTATCAAAAAGCCACAGATGCCCTAAATGCTCATTATGTTGTCAAACCTAATGCTACGTTTCAAAGACATTTGTTCAGGAAAACAAAGCAGGAAGATGGTGAAACGGTTGCCCAATTTGTTACCAAATTACGACAGGTTGCTATTGGATGCAATTTCGTAGCTGGGGATGTAGAAAACCAAATTCTTGACCAAGTAGTTCAGTACTGCAGAGCTGATAAAGTTCGCAGGAGAATGCTGGAGAAAGGAGGTGAGCTCAAGTTAAATGATGCATTGTCCATGGCTGCTGCTCTAGAAGCTGTTGAAGGTCAATTTAACTCCATGTCATTGAGAGAGAGAGAAAGGCCTAGAGCTGGTCAAGTGAATCAAGTATCATACGAGAATGACAGAAAAAAGAATTTGGAATGCTACCGATGTGGGAACAAAGGACATTTTGGGAAGGATGCATCATGTCCAGCCAAAGGAAAGATCTGTCGGAAATGTGGAGGCCAAAACCACTTTGCGACAATGTGCAAAAGTAAGGCCAAGAGCACAAGTGAGGCGAGAGGAAAAGTCAGAGATGGGAAGTCCAGAGAGGGAAAGAAGTATAAGAATAGAGTTCGCCAAGTGGAAGGTGAACCCGGAAATGATAGTGATGATGACAACAGCCGTGGCCGTGATCAGAGGTACTATCAATTTGCTGTGAATGGTGATCATGAGAAAGTCCCAATAATCATTGGAGGTGTCACAGTCCCAGTGATAGTAGATTCGGGAAGTGATTGCAATGTAATAGATCAGATATTGTGGGAGAAACTGAAGAAGGACAAAATCATCTGCAAATCTACTAAGAGTACCAAGAGGCTTTATCCGTACACATCACAGATACCATTAACAACTGTTGGATGTTTCACAGCCACCGTAGAAGTTGGCAAGATGAAGTCGACTGCAGAGTTTGTTGTCATCAAAGAAAAGGGAGAACCTTTACTGAGCAAACATACGTCTAGAGAGCTGGGAGTGCTCCAGGTGGGAATTGTACATGTAAATGCGGTACAGAGTTATGCAGGTTTAAAGCAGGAGTTTGAAGCAGTCTTCAAAGGAGTAGGGAAGTTGAAGGGTCGACAGGTGCAGTTAGCAGTGGATGAAACGGTGAAGCCAGTGGCCCAGCCTGTGCGAAGGACTCCATTTGGACTGAGAAAAAAGGTCGAGATGAAGATTGCGGAATTGATCGATCTCGACATCATTGAGCCAGTTGAACGCTCCACGCCATGGGTAAGCCCAGTTGTCATAGTTCCAAAGAGAAATGATGAAATAAGACTGTGTATCGATATGCGTAGAGTGAACGAAGCAATCATAAGAGAACGTCACCCCATTCCCACTATTGAGGAAGTCCTACAGGAGCTGTCGATTAGCAAGGTCTTTTCGAAAATAGACCTGAAGTGGGGGTACCACCAACTGGAGTTACATCCGGAGTCTAGAGAGGTGACAACCTTTGTCACTCATTGTGGGTTGTTCCGCTATAAGAGACTGTTGTTCGGAATCAATGCTGCTCCAGAGATTTATCAATATGAGATACACAGAGTGATAGCTGGGATAGAAGGAGCTGCGAACATATCAGATGACATCATTGTGCATGCATCGACCCAGAAAGAGCATGACAAGAGGTTGAAGCAGGTGCTTGGCAGACTGCGGGACGCAGGATGAACAACAACAAGCGTTTAAGGCGCTGAAGGAAAGCTTAATGAGTGCAGAGACCCTGGGCTACTATGATCTAAATGCACCGACAAAGGTCATAGCGGATGCCAGTCCAGTTGGCTTAGGAGCAGTGCTGGTGCAGGTGCATGCTGATGGCCCGAGGATAGTAGCATATGCCAGCCGCTCGTTAAGTAACGTTGAAAGGAGATACTCTCAGACGGAGAAAGAAGCCCTTGGACTTGTGTGGGCTTGTGAGAGATTCCATGCGTACCTGTATGGAATAGAGTTTGATCTAGTGACTGATCACAAACCGCTTGAAGTCATTTATTCACCGAGATCTAAGCCATGTGCGAGAATAGAGCGGTGGGTTCTGAGGCTTCAACAGTACAAGTACAGGGTAGTCCACATCGCAGGAAAGTCCAACATAGCAGATCCATTGTCAAGATTGCTGAAGGATGATCACCCGAGAGAAACTTCTGTGTTGGAAACAGAAGCAGAGAGCTTTGTGCGTTTTGTGGCAGTCCAGTCAACGCCAGGTGCGGTGACAACGAAGGAAGTCGAAAGAGAATCTGAACATGATCCTGAACTCGAAGTTATCAGAGAGTGTATTCACAGTGGACAATGGGATGATTGTCCATACAAAGCATACATTCCCATCAAGGATGAACTCTGTATAATTGGTCAGTGTGTGCTGAGAGGTAGCAGATTGGTGATTCCACAGGCACAGAGGCCAAAGATGGTGTCATTAGCTCACGAAGGACACCTGGGCATTGTTGGCACCAAACAGAATTTGAGAACCAAGGTATGGTGGCCAGGATGTGAGAAAGATGCAGAGAAATTCGTCAAGACTTGTCATGGTTGCCAAATCACAAGCAGGGGTAATCCACCAGAACCAATTCGAAGTACTATGTTGCCAACAGGACCTTGGGTGGATGTAGCTGTTGATTTCCTAGGACCACTTCCGACAGGAGAATCTATACTTGTGGTAGTTGATTATTATAGCAGATACTACGAGTATGCAATCATGAAATCAACCACTGCAGAGAAGACAGTCAAAGCCCTGGCTGAAATCTTTGGCAGACATGGGTTACCTGTGACGTTATACTCAGACAATGGACCCCAGTTCATCTCAGAAGTTTTCGCAGAGTACATGAACATTACAGGAATTCACCACCATCGGGTGACTCCTAAATGGCCCCAAGCCAACGGCGAGGTCGAAAGACAGAACCAGAGTATAGTGAAAAGGCTTCGAATTGCACAGGCAGAAGGCAAGGATTGGAAGGAGGCCTTGCTGACTTACGTCGCAGTCTACCGGGCTAGTACTCATTCGACAGCGGGAAAAAGCCCGGCAGAAGTGTTGTTCGGGAGAAAGATCCGAACTAAACTACCACAAATCCAGGACATTAGTGAGGATCAGGAACTCAGAGACAGGGACCTCCAAATGAAAAGTGGTGCAAAACACTATGCAGATCTGAAGAGGGGAGCCGTACATTCTGACATAGTGCCAGGAGATAAGGTGATAGTAAGACGTGATGAAAGGAGGAAACTAGACACGCCATACTTTAGCCAGCCATACACAGTGACAGCAAGAACAGGAAGTATGGTAACTGTGAAATCACCTGACGGAGTCCTGTATAATAGGAATGTATCAAGTGTAAAAAGATACATGTCCCGAGACACTCATAACGAAGCTGCCAATCCAGAGAGGACAGACGGCAATCCTGAGGCGGTGACCGGTATTCCTGAAGGGTCGGACGGTAATCCTGAGGCGGAGACCAGTACTCCTGAGGCGGTGACCAGAGATCCAGACTCAGAGGCAGCGAGCAACACATCAGGCGGTGACCAGAGACATCAAGATGGTGATACCCAAGCAGAGACAACAAACACCAACGTTCCTATGGCAGCTAGTAGACCACAACGCCAGAGAAGATTCCCTAAGCGATATGATGATTTTGTGTGATTCCAGATCAATATGGTGGGAATGAGCTCTTTGTAAAATAGCGACAGTGATATCGGAAACTACATGTGCCAAGGAGAAATGTTTGGAAATCATTGGTTGAAGCCAAGTTATGATTTAAAGGGTGTACGCCTTGCGCTGCCCATATTTGTGAAATCGACATGTTGGAGAAATCACCATGGAAACCAAGCGTACGAGGAAGTTGTGTTATGTGCTAAAATAATAAGTTCTGATACATATGTTTCAATATTACACATACATTAATCAATGTAAAAGGGTGTACGCCGAACGCTGCCCTTATTGTATGTGATAGGTGTTGCGAAAAACACAAGTTGAGTTGGAGCATCGATCAGTTTTCAAAAATGGATTCAATCATCGAAGAGAGTATTTCCAGAAACTTCAGCTTCAGCTAGTCGTATGAACGCTTGGAGATAACAGATGATTTACACGAACTCAAAACTAGAACTCAAATAGTATCCAGTGAACAGTTGAACTTTATTTGGACCACAGACCGGATGCATGAAAGATATTGCATGAAAGATATTATATTGCATGTTATGTTTTATGTTGTTCAACAAAGTTGTTTGGAAGATAAAACATTTGGGAAAAGTTTATCGACCAGATAAATTTGTTGTTTGTTAGAAGTTGTTCTTTGAAAAAAAAAAGGAAGAAACAAAAGCAAATGCATCAAAGCATGTTTATTTCAGTAATTCACATATGGCTGAAACACAAGAACAAAAGAAATATTACAAGAATTTTCAGTGAAACTATAGTATAAAAATAGACCAGGATAAAGTTTCATTCTGGCAAAGGAGGGATGTCATGATAATGAATATGTATCAGATTATGCAAATGTGACACCTGTGACCTCAGGAGGTCAGATCGCATGTGCGCGATGTATATGCGATACGCGTGACTGGATACCCAGTGCGGGGAATAAACACCAGACTATGGTTTATGGAATTCAACTACTTTGTTAGTTTGTTTGCACTTAATATGTGACAGGTATTGGTTATCTGTGGGTTGTTTGTTGATTTTATTTAGACATGGTAAACAAAAAGGCTGTTTTTCAGTATGTCCGTTTGCATGGTTTTACACAAATGAATTTTACAACAAAATTACCTTAAACCGGAAAAAATACAAAACAATCATATTTCAAAACATAAGGCATTACATATGAATGAATGATTAATTATATAGAGTTTTACATATAGAAGAAGAAAAGAGAGATATAGAGATATGACTAAGCTACTAGTCAAAATGAGAAATTGAATAAGGACGGGACAACAAAAGAGAAAGTCAAACAGAGAAAGGAATATGACATTTACAATACATAATGATATAGGGTAAAAAGCATGCAAACATTAATCACATTTTTTAAATGGCATATTGATGAGTTCTTTTGTAATATTCTTGTATTGCTGAAACGTCTTTAAATATAGCAGAAGAAAAGAGAGATAGAGATATAAATCTAGGCTACTTGTCAAAATAGGAAATTGAATAAGAAAGGGGCAACAAAAGAGAAAGTCATAAATAGAAAGAAATATGACATTTACAATAAATAATGATGTTGGGTAAAAAGGATTACAAACATTAAAAACATTTTTGAAATGGCATATTGATTGATGATTTCCTTCCATAATATTCTTGATCTGCTGAAACGACTTTTTGTTGTTGTTAATTCTTGCTCAACACGTGAAAGACATGGCAATTGATTAAATAATTCGGTACAGGCATATATGCTTCCCAAACGCATAAAATTTGATCTTGTTTGACCAATGTACAAGGTGTAGTCTGAAATTTTAAGACAATATACGTATTCTTCCAAATGAATCCTGAAGCATAACAAATGTGGTAAGAGTTTGTGCAATAATTAAAAAAATAAAGCATTCAGCTTGCACTTTTCAATGTAATTTAAGGCGATTAATATCCAAATATGTACATAAAAGCTGGGAGCACAATCTGGTATGAACTTTCAGAAAAATGCGTAAAGCCCGATTTATTATTTAGTAATTAGTAATTAATTAGTAATTAATAGTAATTGTATATGCTTGATTAAAACTATACCAATATTGTACCGTACAATGAAACAGCAATCAAAATGAGGTTGAAAAGGTGCTTTATACAACATGACGGCAATTTTCCATATTTCTACACGGTAACTATTTCTCTGAAAAATATTAGCTGTGATATATCCTTTTTTCGCTCGACGTATATTAGAAGTAACCTGTTTTTTTTTTAATTTTTGATCATAATCAATTGTTGTTTATCGACATGTATTCTAGCACACAATAGCACCGAATTATCTTTAAATTGCTTTTCTTACGTAAAAGGTATCGAATTTCGTCTATTCCTCACTACCGTCACTTCGTGAAAACAAGGACGGACATCTTAACCCCACGACCATTCCGGATTGTATCCATTCTCACAATATTGTATCCAGAAATGGAAACTTCAGAATCATGTATGCTATAATCCAATCTTGTTTCACTAAGAGTTAAAACATCAAGTCTGGAAGACAGTATCCCATCTATTTCGTCATGATTTTTTTTAACAATGATCATATATTTTAACCCCATTGTACGAATGTAAATTTTCATACACTTTAGGAACAGTATCATAAAATATTGAACAGGTTTATCTTCTTTTTTTTTAAATCTTTTTGAACCTTGGGTGCTTCACTTTTTAGGTCTATGATATTAAAAGGTAAATCACCGAACAAGCATTTATCACAAAGCCAATCGGTATTGAGTTAAGAACAATTTAAATGAATCCATCTATTACAATAAACACATAAAAACAGCATTTTGGTTATGGGTAACTGAGTTAGAGCACGCGTTATAATACACGGATATTTTTAACCATTGAAGTTCGACTGTAATGTAACACCGTACACGTGCACTGTCTGAAAAGAATTGAGTTTTTATAAGTCAGTGTACGACATAATGACTACTTTTTAGCCATCGTTAATGTCCTACGTGTATTTATTACCTCATTAATGTTTATGTTTGACGTAGGCTTTCGCATCCAGGTGTGTGTTGTTTTTCATTAAAAAGGATAAATCATATTTTTGCCGTCTGGTAACTTTTGTTTTGCTGCTGCTGATAATGTTTCAACTCACATGTATTTTCAGTTCAGGCGTTGCTGATGTTATTTTTGTCAGTCCAGATAAATTCATCTCTTTCAATTCCTCTTGTTTCTTCCACATGTACTATCAAAGATAAGTTGTGAGTATTTTATAAATTTGTGAGAATAGTGATAATTCTTGGTGTAAATATTGAGTGATTTTTTATTAAATTTTTTGTTATTTCATTTTTTATAAATAAATACATCATTAATTGAAAGTTATGTTCTGAAGCTTCTGTTTATTGTTGGATAAATATGTCCGTTATTGGGAGAAGTTTCTATCTCGATTAGCTAAATCAGTTCCAAATATAAATTCACCATACTTGTACAAAGGACAAAGAGTAAAGGGCCATTATGTGACTCTAATTCTTACTTGTGTGAGTGCTTCTGCAATTTAGTTTTCCAGTGATTTGTCCTTCTATGCTGTTTTCAATGGAGTTGTTAGGAAAACACTTCCTGAAGTGCTAAGCAATCAGAGATTGTTACATTTTCCATAAAAACATGTTTAGTTTCTGTAAGTGAAGTGGGGATTGTTCATATTTTTTCCCTTCAATTTAGGTGTTAATTCAGGTTTTTATTTTTGAAAAGGAGGGGGGGGGGCTTCTAAAACTAAAAAATATTGACAAGCAAAACAAAATACCCCTCCCCCCCCCCCCTTTAAAAAAAAGGTCAGATATGTATCAAAAATTGAAAAGGTATCATGCTATGTCACGTTTGTTATGAAATGGATGGCAGGGGCTAATTGCACCCTTTCCTCCAATTTGCTAGTGATTCAAGTGTTTTGTTTTTAGCTTGCCTTTTGCAACAAAAGCATAATTCTAGCGTGTCAACTTGTGTAATATTTAGCTAATGGCATTATCAGATCATTTCTTTTTTGCCAGATCGGCGAGGGGGAGATGATTTATACTTGCAGTAAACTATAGTCTCCATGTTTTTCTCTTTTTTATTTTGGCATTTGAAGTACATAAAAGAAGAACAAATGTTCCTAATTGTCCCATCCGTAAAGATAGAACTTGTCACCATGACAACCCTTTGTTCTATAATTGTCATTGGGAGAGAGAGAGAGAAAGAAAATGGAGGGAAAAGTGTGGTTGATTATGTCATTGCATCTGTTAGTTTATTTCAATATATTACTCATTTTGAGGTTGACATTTTTGATAAGTGTGTTTCAGATGTACATTGTCCATTGAATCTGATGTTTTCAAATAAACTGATTCCTATAAATGAAGATGTTGAATTGAGAAAAATTGAAAATAGGGTTGATGCTCCCGAAAAAGTGAAATACACTTCATTTAAGTGTTCTAAAGAGAAGGCATCTGAATTTAAGTTGAAACTTGATCAAAGTATTCCAGTACTGATGAATGCATTGGAAATGGTTGAGAAGTCATCGACACAAGGTAATATAGATAATTTTAGTACTGTATTGGCAAATTCATTTTTGAAGACGGCAAAGGAAGTCGGTATATGTGAGGATAAAGTCTGTAAGAAAATTCATTCTAGGAAACTTATCGTGGAGAAGAAACCATGGTTTGACACAGAGTGTCAGCATGCCAGATCAAGATATTTTAATCTAAAAAATAGAATTAAACGACAGTGCAAAGGTCTAACTTTGAGTGATAAAGAACAAAAAATGGCTGAAATTAATGCTGTTGCAAAAGATTATAGGAAATTGCTACGTAGAAAGGAAAAAGCGTACACTAGGCTCTTACACAGCAATCTTCATATACTTAAGAAGGATAGTCCTCAAGAGTATTGGAAAATTTTGGATGGACCGAAGCGTAGCTCTTGTCCAGCCAAGGTCTCTTTAGATGATTTTGTGCATCATTTTAGTAGTTTGAATAATGTGCAATGTGCAGCATCTGAAACACATTATGTGG